AGACAGACAGACAGATAGAGATTAGGTATATGAAGAGAGACAGACAGGCAGGCAGACATGTGAACCAGCGTGTTTCACTCTCGATAAAAACTCTCGATAACTTCCCATGATGCCCTTCTGCATGACTGGCAAGGACTGACATTATCCTGGCCAAACCCTGGTCTCTTCTCAAATCTCTACGCCCATCCTTTCCAGCCTCACCTCAGTACCACTATGATGCTTTTTAGTTTGTTTGTTTGTTTTGAGATAGGAGTTGTCTGTGTAGCTCTGGCTGTCCTGGAACTCACTCTGTAGACCAGGCTGGCCTGGAACTCACAGAGATCCCCCTGCCTCTGCCTCCTGAGTGCTAACATTAAAGGACTGTGCCACCACGCCTGGCCACGTGACCTATTAGGAGAAAAGTTGTTTTCCTAGAGCAGGGATGCCATTCCACATAGTGAAATGCTTTTGTCATCATCTACAAATGGCTTGGGTCACTCTTACTGCTTTCCTGGGCCCCATGCAGACTGTGAGCTGCCGGGAGGACGTGCTGGTTATAAAAAGCTATCCCTTTAATTTATCACAGGCGTCAGCAGCTGCAAAAGACAATGTCTGTTTTGCCGTGTATTCCAATCGTGTCAATATTTGATGTCCACAAATCCAGTTCTATCCAGGTCACCTACAGTGGGAATGACTCCTGGACTCAGTCCATCCGTTGGGTAGGACACTAGGATCTATAAAAGAGTGTGTTAGGGCTCTAAGCATCAAGGAAGGCCCAGTTTACATAAGAAGGGGAAATCGATAGCCACAGCTAAATAAGATAGGGGCTTTAATTCACAAGCAGTGGCCTGACTGGCAAACAGTGATAGCATCTGACTGGCCAGAGAGTGATCAAAACTTTGCAACTGATAGATGTGTATATTATTTCACACAAGTTTTCCTGCGACAAGTTTTGGCACATATATATTTCACGTTGCATAATCAGAAATCTTTCGGATACTTGTTGGCTAGAATACTAAGCAATTTCTTGAAAACACAATTCTTTTGTCTTCTTCACACAAGCGGTGGCTTCATTTGATAGAAAGTGTGTTGTGCAAATAGCCCTAGCATCATAATAGAAATGATCCTATGTGCAATCATAATAAAAGTAATCCCTGCCCTGTGTGACCTAGGATGAGTCACCTAACTTCTCTGGGCTTCAATTTCCTTGTGTATAAAATGGATTTACTTATGCAGGACCTAACTTTGCATGCTATTGTAATCAGAGTTTACACAGCACAGTACCTCGAATGCTATAGACCCTTAGTACATGGGCATGAATGTTATTTATTAGTATTATCCATCGCTCATAAACTATACCTTGTGTCTCAGAGGAATCCACTTATTCCCTCCTTCCCTGGGAGATGCCAGGCTAAAGAGTCCCCTGGGTCAAATTCTCAAGGAAAAAAAAAAAATACTATGTTCATTCTTCCAACCTTCATACCAGTTTTGGGCCTCGTCTGGGAGCTGGCAGGGCATGGTGGGTGGGAAGAGGATGAATCAAGACAGCTCATTCTCAACAGGCCTTCAGACCTGTCACTCTGTTCTGCTAGCCCAGCACAAACTCAGCAGGTCTCAGCCTGGGAACCACCCCACCCCAAGCCTGCCCACCCCTTTCCTCAAGAGCACCCCAGCCTGGCCCAGGCCCTGCATTGTCCAGGCCTGACTTTCCAGAGGGAACTACTTTGAGATTGGCTTGAGTTTAAGGTGTGGCTACTGTAGCCCTGGCCAGCTCTACGTGGAGAGCCACAGGGTGGAGCAGGGGCAGGGCAGGGTGGGACCGGGAGATGACAGTGAACACCCACTCCCCAGGGCCTGGGTGCTTTGCACAAGCGTGGAAACCTTTTTCTCCTGAGTCTCCAGCTGAGAGCAATTTAAATTCCTGTAGCTGAGAACCTGGGGTGCGCTGCTGGGTAACGCCAGGGAGAAAGAGTTGAGCTGGGTACCCACAGCTGACTCTGGGGAATCACAACCTGGGCAAATTCTCAGTGTAGGGAATCTGAGGCCTCTCCAAGGAAACAAGAAGCGCTCCGGACATGGCCAGAGAAACAGGGATTGGCCACGGCACAGAGACATGGACAAAGCGAGCTTGGGAGGGAGGAGCGTTGGGGCTAGCAATAGCATTGCAGAGGCAGGAGCAAATAAAAGTGGGGGTAAAGGGGGCTGCGAGGTGGCTCAGCCAGTAAAGGAGCTTGCTGCCAAGTGTGAAGACCGGAGATGACTCCTGTAAGCTGCTCTCTGACACACACACACACACACACACACACACACACACACACACACACACACAAAGTTTTTTAAAAAATTTAAAGAAAGCTGACCCCCTTCTTAATAGAAATGAGATGTCATCTGCAACAGGCCAGGTGGTGACTTCCATGACCCAGAAGCCCTTCACCAATCCAGGACACAGGAACGGGCTAAGGGCTCAATCCCGTGTATGCAGTCACCCACCAAGAGGAGGCTACCTGTGCATCCTGTAGCTCCTGAGTGCCCCCTTCAGGCTGGCCTCTCTGCTGGAGCCCACATCCCCCATCGGGTCCGGGGAAGAGAAAGCAGGAAAGGGGCTGGAGGAGCAGAGTCCCTGGACTCAGGCTTTGTGCCCTGACTGGGTGTCCCCACAGCTAGTTCCCAGGAGACCCTGACCCTGACCCAGGTGCTGCATTTGGGGGAGGTTGGAATGCTTCTCAATCTGCAAGGTCCAAGCGCAAGGGAGTGAACTGGCCAGGGTCTGCAGCAATGTTCCCTCTCAAACCCCGTCTTCCTCCTGGTGCGATTACTACACAGGCAGAACCCTCAGACAGAGAAAGGTCACACTCAGTCAGACACGTACTGTGAGTCAGGCTGTACTGTGAGTGACTGGACTCCAGTCTGGTTTCTGGAGCCCCCAACTCCAAGTGAGCCCATTCAGAGGGCTTGACTCTGGGCCCCAATTTAAGTTCAATTCCCCCACCAGGATAGGCCCAAGAAAGCTGAGTTTTTTTGTCTCAGCCTTTCCAGAAACCATGCTGCACAGTCTTAGGAGAAGCTTGCCTGAAAGCAAACTCAACTCAGAACAATCCTGACCATGTACCTGAAGGACAGTCCTCAGCAGCCCTGCCTGCCCATTGCAGCCTCCATCAGTCCAGCCGGACAAAACAGTGGCAAGCCGGCTTCCCCAAACCTTGAGCCCCTGAGAGGAACTGAACACGTATGATAGCCAGAGCAGCAACAGTAGTGGCTAACGCTGACGATGCAATTAATCTTCAGCAAATACCACCCTCATCACTACACACATTGCTACAGTCCAACCCTCACACCACCCCACCTTTAGGAGGGGAACTCGGGAACAGAAGTAGCAAGAACTTGCCCAAAGCTCCCAGAGTCGGGACTTGGCAGAACCAGAATTTGACAAGTCCTGGGTCCAGAGCAGGGTCAGCAGCTTCAAGAGTTGACCTCAGGGCTAATGGCCCCCTGGAGACCCCTGTCTTTAGCTGTCCCACCTCTAAAGTGGGCGTAGTAGAAAGGAGCTCTGCCCAGGAGGTAAGGTTGAGAGCAAACATAAGGGAGTGTGAATCTGTTAGCAAGATGAAGCAGGGTCTCGACTACTCCCACGCAGAGCCAGGGGATGCATGTGAGTGGGCATGGGCACTGAGCTCCTGAGACAAGGGGTCAGGGACCCAGAGTGGTCAAGGTTAAAACTAGAGAGGGCGGTCCTGGGGCTGTACAGAAAGGTGGGCACGCAGGAGTCAGGGTGCCAAACGCGCGTTGGTCCTACCCCACCTCCCTGACCCGCCCACCACCCCTTAGTTAGTCATGAGGCCCAGCCCACCTTGGCCATCCTTGTACCTCTAGTGTTAGACCCAGTTCCATGGTAAAAACAAGATCAAGGTGTGGAATGGATAATTCAAGTAAGGCTGGATACTGTGAACCCAGATGGACCCTTCCTTTCTTAAGTTACTTCTGTCTGTTTTTTTTTTTTTTTTTTTTTTTTTTAATCACAGCAACAAGAATAGTAACTGGTAGAGACAGATGAGTAAGTGAAGCCTCGGCCACAGGCTAAGCCCCCTAGGACCGTATTCTTTTCATGTCTGATCACTAATGTCTGTTACCGGCACGGAGCTCAGGGTAAGCAGGGAGCATGGTGTCCAGAGAGCAGGACGAGGGATGCTGGTAGTAACAGACTGGCCTAAGAGTGTCCGCTAGAAGACTTAAGTTGAGCCCAGATGCTCAGCGCAGTGAGAGGTGAATCCGAGAGATCACGGAGAAAGTTATGAGACGGGACTCACAGGAAGCTGCTGATGCTGTCAAAGGGTTAACAGGAGAAAGGATTTCAGTAGAGGGAGGCCGGAGGAAGACCTGCTGGTCCAGGAAAAACACTTTGGGGAATTGCCCCAGAGAGTTGTTGATTTGAGTGTTCTACTGTCTCTTGTGGATTCTCTGTCCGTCTGCTCAGAAGCTGTGCTACACGCTATCCTCTTAGCTCTGGGGTCTTTAAGGCCTAGAAGATATGCAGATCACAGGAAAGGGGAAACCGAGGCGCACAGACTAACCCAAGCCTCTTGGCAGCTCTGGCCTGAACAGCTGCCCAATGAAACCATCCTTCCTTCCTCCCTCGAGGGCTCCCTGCCCCTCAGACAGTGGGCTCTTAGTGCCCAGGCCAGGAGGAGAAAGACAACAGGAAACCATCCAAAGAGGCCCATTGTTCCCAGCAAATGACTCACACGGGGAATACTCCCTCCCTGTGCGACAGCCTCTTCCCCGGTATGCTGTTCCCCGTGACTCACAAAGACTAAAATCACAAACCCTGTCCACTGTTCCCACCTCCCTCCTGGGCTCTGAGACTGTACGTGCATTGCTTAGGCATCAGCTTCTTCCCTGTAGCTGAGTAAAAGAAGGCCAGACTGGCATCCATTCCTCCAAGCTGAGCAGATGTGAGGGCACTGGTTCTCGGTGACATTGGAGGGAAATGACATAAATACCATTCCTTGTGTGCAGTGTGTTGACCTTTTATTACTGGAGTGGTATTGGAACGGGGATCAGGCAGAGTACTGGCTGCTAGCTAGCCCAGCTCCCACTTTGCAGGCAGGAGTCTGCGTTGGGTGTCCAGGAGGACCCAGAGCTGGGATGCTCAGGGCAGGGACACTGGCAAGGAGCAGAGCTTCAGCGAGAGCAGCCTGTCTCTATTTCCAGCGTCCGGTGACTTTGGCCTTCCCACGAGTTTTGGAGCTGCAGGAGAATCAGAACCCCGTCAGATGGAGGGAGGGGGGGTAGCAGTTTCCAAAGGGGCAGAGGGTGGGCTAAGGGAAGCTAAGCGTTTGAAATGAACATTGTAAGGCAGGTGGGCTATGGCAACCGTCTTGACCCTCCCATCCCACGCTGCACAGGCAGGGGGGGTGGCTAAGGCTGAGAGAAGGAAGCTGTAAACTGAAGGAGACACTCTGGGGTCAGAAGCCTCACAGCAGGATGAGGGAGGCCGGGTGTGCGAGGAGAGGAAGGCCACAGACACTCACACTTTCTGGTTGTCGTTGATCCTGTTCCGCAGAACATTGATCTGGAAGAAAAAGGATGGAGCTGGGCTCGACCGGTGAGGTCTGGAAGGGCAAAGGGCACAAAGGGGGAGGAGGAAAGCACCAGAACATTGTTGGGGACAGCCGGGGACAGGGAATGGGGCTTTGAGGGTCAGCGGTGGTGAGGAGCAGGTCAAGCCAGGAGCGCGGGCACAGTGAGCAGCTCACTTCGTATTTCTGCTGCTTGAGCTTCTCCTGCAGGTCGAACTTCTCGGCCTCCAGGTTGTGAATGCTCTGCCAAAGCTCCTTGGCCTTCTCCCTGCAGGAGCCACAGTGGGGGCCGAGTGAGGGGTGATAAAGACAGGCTTTGGCTTTCACCCTGGCCCTGGCTCAGCCTACGCGGTCCTCCGGCCTGCCCTTGCACATTTAGGTCTGCAAAGGGCACCTCCAGCCTGTGCGATGGATGGGTCTGACCGTTCTGAAATTCTGGGCCCCAGCTACGGCGCCCAGTGGTCAGGGACAGACACCAAGGGCTGCCGGGGCAGAGCTCTGGGGTCCTGGAAGTTGTGAAGAAGCATCGAATCCAATGTGTGTGAAGGCCTCCTGTGTGAAGGCCAGCAAGCAGGAGCTCGGGCGAGAAAGCCCCCCCCCCTCCCGCTCAGTTCTCTTCCCCTGAGAGAAAGAAAGCTCTCACAGGGAGGCCTGACCGCTGAGGCCCAATGCCAGCCCTAGTAACGAGCCTTGGTAAATGTGTGAGGGAGTAACTCCCCCTGGCGGTGGACGGTGGGAAGCGCTTTCTACCCCACCTCAGCTGGTCTTCGTTCAGATGATCGATGGCCAGCACCTTCCTCCTCTCAGCCAGGATCTTCTTCTTCTTCTCTCGCTCTGTCTGTCTCTTCCCACTCTTGCGCTCTGTCTGAAGGGGGTGGAGAGCAGGGACACTTGTCTAGAGATGGCTCCTCCCTGACCCCTGGCCCTCCCAATGCCCTGGGGAGTATGGCTAGGTATGCAGAACACCAGCTTTCTAGCCTGTTGCCCTAGCAACACGGCACACGCACCGATACCTTCTGAATTCCCCCTGAGAAACTGAGGCAGGGCCAAGGAGGGGCCTATTACCAGTCTCCCTCCTCCCACAACTCCTCCTCCAGCAGGGAGTGCTCCCCCCTCCCAGGGAGCACTCTACAAGGACTCGAGGGTTTGTACCCACCTGAGCTTGCTAACCAGGAAACCATGAGAGAAAGACCCAGAGAGAAAGACCAAGATCGTCACAGAGACGCGGACAGAAGCAGGCGGGAGAGAGATAGGAAGACAGTGAGGGTCATGCCATTCAGCTGCTCAGCAGGGGCGGCCTGCTGTGCCCAGTACAGGTCTAGGGCTTAGGGAAGTGCAATTTTGATAACATTTGCCTGGTACAGTCACTCTGAGGACAGACATACAGTGGCAGAGCTAGGGACTTAATTTCTAAAACGAAATATTCTCATGCCTCCACGCATAAAGAAAACCAGGTCTCGTCGGGCATGGTGGCACAATCCCAGCACTTGGGAGGCAGAGGCAGGAGGATCTCTGTGAGTTCAAGACCAGCCTGGTCTATATGGTGAGTTCCAGGACAGCCAGGACTACACATTGAAGCCCTGTCTCAAAAAAAAAAAAAAAAAAAAAAAAAAAAAAAAAAAGACAAAGAAAGAAAGAAAATCAGGCCACAGCTCTGACCAGGGCTGGGGGGTACAGGGCATCTGGAAGGCATGAGTGTCCACAGGCAAGCCGCCCACATCTGTGTGGTACACACTTTCCATTAGCCCATTGCCTCTCTGAAGCTGCAGGGCAGGCAATACCGGGCCATGTGAGGAAACAGGGCTGTAGATTAGTGCAGGCCATGCTGCAGTATACGGCAGAGTCTGGTCTCCAACCAGAGCTCTGGCTCCAGGACCCAGGCTTCCCCTGCTGGCACACAGTCACCTTGGGGAGCCAGCATGAGGAGGCATATTCGTGTTCTATCCTTTGCCCCTAGCAGACCCCTCCTAGTAAGGTCATGGTCAGGCTAACAGCCAGCTCAGGGGCTAAGCATGGGAGACCTTAGATGTCAGCCGCAGCAGCTGGGGAATTCTTCGTGGGTCCAACCACAGGTAGCCTTGAGGATACACCGAGGTCGCCTGGAGTCCTATGCCGCCTCCTGTGTCCCACCTACCTTCTGGATGTACCCTCCAAAATGCATCATGCTGGACAGAGCCGCCTTCTTGCGTGCCTCGTCCTCAGCCTTCCTCCTGTTCTCCTCCTCCTCACGCCGGGCCCGCTCTTCCTGAGTTCAGGGAGGGCAAATGGACCCATTAATGGCAAGGTTAGGAAAACCGGACTCCGGGTTGAAGCTGGTGTTCTTTACGAACGAGATCAGCTTTCTTCCCACGGGACAAGGAGCTTCCTGAGATACCCTCTAGCACAAGAAGGGCACACTGGAGTTTACAGAATGGGTAGATGGATTGTTGTATGAATGAGTTAATGAAGCGCTAACTCACGCCTATAAAATCCCACCCCCCAAGGCTGAGGGGCCCTCCATCCCCATGTAGCCAGGGAAGGGGTAGGGGCTACAGGTTTTAAAATCATGAGCATAAGGCCCCCGCATGTCTGTCCAGTTCTTTGGTGTGATGTCAACCCTGAGCCAATGACCTGGACTTCTGTGGCAAACACTGCCTGCCTCTCAGGCTGCTGTCTGTGGATACAGAGGGCACTGGGATTTCGGGGGCTCGGTGAGGCTCACTCACAGCCAGGCGGTTCTGCCGCTCCTTCTCCCGCTCGTTTCGGATGCGCTGTTGCTCTGCCCGCTCTGCCCGCCGCTTTTCCTAGGGAAAGGCAGGAACTCCTGTGTGTGCTGCTGAGGGCTGTTATCCCCAGTACAGGAACCGGGAGGTGGCCCGCCACAGGGGGAGCCTCCTCTGAAAGCCCCCTGGAAACAATTCTGTGGGAAAAGCCGAGTGGCTTCTCTTGTCTCCTTTAAGGGCCATACCCACGTTCTGGCCCCAGAGATGCGTGGCTACCATGCACACCTGAGAAAAGTAGGTTGGCCACAGAAAAACAAGGAGTCAAATCGTCTCTCTCAGAGTGGGATCCAGATGTCATGCCTCCTGAGTTAATGAGGCAGCTATGCCCCATGGGTTGGAAAGAGGGACAGGGAGAACACAGACATTTGACTATCGTTCCACAGCCAGTGGTGTTTGGTTGGGCCCAGCTAGAGCCAGAAGCTCTTCCCTGGCCGTCTCCTGTTGGCAAGGAGCATCCGCACCGATAGACAGGTAGCAGGGACCCAAGGACAGCAATATCCAACAGGTTGGCAGCTTGAGGCATGCTGCGGGGGCGGGGGAAGGAAGCTGCAGCGGACTGTGGAAGATTGACACATACGATCCTGTCTTTGAGAGAGATCAGCTCCTCCTCCTCCTTCTTCCGGTTCTCAAAGTGAGCCTCGATCAGCGTCTGCAGCTCATTCAAGTCCTTCTCCATGCGCTTCCTGTGGATGTCCTGCGGGGAGAGCCCGGCTGAGCCTGCCGCACCCGTGCAGCGCGGGGCTCAATGCAAAAGGCATTGTCAGGGCTTGGAGCCTGAGGCTCTGTCACCCCGCACCAGCCTGCCAATGGCCTGCCCCCGCCCCAGCCCCCGCCCCAGCCCCCGCCCCCTAGATCAGGAGATCGGACGTCCTCATTAGCGCCCTTGCCGCCACCTGAGGCTGACCCACTCCACCCGCAGTCTCCACTCACGTCGAAGTCCACTCTCTCTCCATCCGGGATCTTGGGCGGCACCAAGTTTGGCATGAAGAGCCGGCTGCAGAGAGGAGTAGAGGGTCAACCCGACGGGGGAGGGGGCGGGGGGGAACGGGACAATGTGCTCCCGGGCAGCTCCAGGCTGCCTCCCTGCAGGAGTATTCTCCTCTGTGATGACGCCAGCACCAATGTCTACCTCACTGGCTCACACTTTCACCGAACACTTCTCGTCAGATCCCAGAAGGGGGCAGCACTGAGCTCCATTGGGAAAATGGAGGCTTAAAACTACACAGCTGGGAAGCAGAAGAGCTGAGCTTAGAAATGGAGTCCCTGTGCTCTTGGGCCTTCAGGAGCTAAAAGGAGCTGCTCCTGGATGCACGAAGCAACCAGCAGAGAGGATGAACAGAGCTAACACACACACACACACACACACACACACACACACACACACACACACACCCCACACCACACCACACCACAGGTGCTACAGCTCCATCTTGGAAAGATAAGCATTGTGGGAAAGGAAATGCTCCCTGTCTTAAAGGTCCCACGCTCACGCTCAGCCACCAGGTGTAGATCCAGGTATGGGATGAAGCTGTAGCTCTCTGACGCTGCTGTGCCTGCGTCGGCGGCATGGGTCCACTGCTTGGCTCCCCAAAATTTGCATCCCTTTCCCCCTAGGTCCCACCCCAGCCAGGATGGAGGGCATCCTGTGGGATAGGCAGTGTGTCCGTCCGAGGCCGTGGCTAGCCCTTCCCCATGCTATAGACGAATGTAACTCCATCCATGTTCGTGAACGTAATTGGTGAAGTGCAGGGTCCAGTTCATCTCCCATTCTACCCCTCAGGCTGAGATCTTCGGCAGTATAAAACCTGTCCAGCCCTCTGCGGTAGTCTGTGCCTACTACTACGGCTCCTGCTCAGACTCCATATACCACATGCACTGGGGTCTCTGTCAGCCTCCCTAACCGGCCCCTGCCCCCAGGGCTATCCCACAGATGCATTCCACTCACCTGGGCTTGGGTTTGGACTCCTCTGTTGGACCATCTGGAGGAGAAAGAAGGAGGTATGGGTCAGCAAGCCTGACTATTCCCAGCTCCAGCCTGAGCTGCCCACCTGTGGGTCTCTGTTTACCCATCTGTACCCTGCTAAGTCTGGACTTCCATTAACACGCAGGGAGCCTGGAGGTGAGGTCACAGAGAGCGGCTGGCTGTGTCTACAGGCTCAGAACCTTCTCCCATCTGCTCTGCCCTGGGGAGATTACCTCTCACACAGGGGCTTGTGGGAAGGTTCCCAGGTGCTCCAACCTGAGAGCCCCTCCCAGATCTGCTTTAATGCTTTGGGCCCTAGACTTCCTAGTGGCCATAGGACCAGGGAGCCAGTGGGCGTGATTCCAAGGCCTGGCCGGCTGTCCCCGCAACCCCCTACCCTGTGTCTGAGTGACTGGAGCCAACTGACAGAGGCAGTGACCGGCCAAGGTTCTTGATGATGATGTCACCACAGCATGAGCCACCTGTGTCTTGGAAGTCCACCCTATAAACACCAGACCTCATTGGCACTGTCTGGGTATCAGGAGCCTGGGGTGTGAATGTGATGTCTGAGTTCACTACCCTGCACAGACCAGGGGCTAGATGCTGGTTCCCTCTCCTACTGGGCTCTAAGGCCACATCTGCGAGACAGAAGACACAGGTTCAGAGCCTCGCAGGCCCTGCAAGAGCTACGAGGTTCTGCCTTCTAACCCTTTTCGGTATAACGTTTGGTGGAATCCCCAGGTACACTTTTCCCCAAAGTTCCTTCATCATACCCAACTCCTGGGCTGACATCCAGCAGCACTTACCTTCAGCATCTCTGGCTTCTTCATCTGGATCAACCTCTAAACAAAACACGAGCAATCAACAGAGGTCGTGCTCTGAGCTCATTTCCCTGAGGGCATTGCCCATGGCCAGGTGTGCTAACCCCTTCATTTAGTGTAGGGTCAACCATGAAAGAGACACTGGGTTGATGATCGTCAGCCAGAAACGGGCTGCTGCATCCCCCAGCCCCACCCCTCCCGGTCAGGCACACGAGCTAAGACCGCACCTGGGCGACTGAGCCCCTTGTCCCCTCACCCTGGCATACCTTCTGCTTTGGTCTCCTCTGTCTCAGCCTCACCCTCAGGCTCAGCCTCAGCCCCACCATCATCCTCCTCCTCCACCGCCTCTTCTTGCTCTGGAGAGGTGAACCAGACACAATGAACATCTCTCAGCAACCAGACAGCACCCCAGAACAGAGATCAGCCTGGGAGGGGAGGGGTGGAAGAGGGCCAGTAATGTCCCGGTTCACATGACTTGGGAGCCACGGCCTCAAATGACAGAAGGGATGCTGCTCCGTGCCTGGTTTAGACCAGAAGTAAATAAACCAGAGCCCTAGCCACACCCAGCCCAGGGCCACCTCTGTAAGCCAAGTTTCATAGGTGTGCAACCTCAGTCACTCATCCACGCCGAGTGAGGAAGGGTTCACCGTCTACTCCTTTGCAGGAAAAGTGGAACCCAACCGAAGGGTACCATCCGGCTGAACTTGCCTCTCCCAGAGTTTGGAAGTCAGAATGGGACTTTTCCCAGTGTGGACACCTACGTGCCATTTGGAGGCTGCTGGACAAGCCAGACACTTGAGTTGGGGCGTGTGATGTGGTGGGTGCCTTGGGCAGAGCCAGTGAGGGAGGTCAGCAAGACCCATTGCTGGGGACCAGTTGGGGTGAGGGTCTGCCCAGCCTCTTTCTGCCCAGTTTAGAGCTTGCCTCTCCAATGCTCCACCCCCCCCCACCTCCACCCCCCCCCCGCGCCCAGGGATATGATTCCTTCATCTTCACCAACTTTTCCCCTGGAGGCTCCATTCAGTGCCTGGCAGCACAGGACAGGTTCTGACTAAACTGAGATGCCAGGGACTCTTCAACTCTGTAGACCCTTCTCCATGCCTAGCAGAAGCCAGAGCCATGAGGTTGGGCAGATGGATGGAACACCCAATATTTGGAGAGTTGTGCTACCCAGAAGGCTGCCAGGAATTTCTATTTTCATCATTCACTTGGCAGGATGTGGACCCCGTCTCTCCCGACATTCAAAAGGGACAGACAGATTAGGGAGGCAGCATGCCATCCAGACCATGACTCGGCTTGGCAGACATGTGCTTGTAACATTCAGTGATGGACAGGCTGACAAGTGGCGGCCCTTGGCAGAGGGAGAAGAAAACACCTCACGACAGAAAGAACCATAGGAGGGAAAAGTCCTTTCCTAGGACTGGGTCCCCACCGAGGTCTGGGGAAACAGCTTTCAACTCTGCAGGGGACTTGCCAGGAGCGTGAGGGTAGAGGGAAATGGCCAGTTATGGGGTCCACCTTACGGCCACCATGCCAGTAGCTCTCCCATACACTCTACGCTTCATCTCTCTGTGTCCTGTGCCCTGTGCCCTTTGCCCAGCGGTCACATGGAAACTCAATGTCACTGCGGGGAGCTGGTCCTAGAATTAAGTCCCATTCTGTGTCCTTTGCCCTCCTGTTATCCCTGGGAGCAAGTCCAGCCTCACCCCACCGCTCAGCAGCACACATCTGCTCTAGCTATCTGCAGTCTCCTCTGATACCCTCAGAGCCCTAACCCCTTGGCCATCGTGCCTGAGGCAAAACAGGGAAGGTCCCCGCATGGAACACTGCCACGGACAGTGGAGAAGCTGGGGTTCATTCCTGCCGAAAGAATCCACCACGTGTGGAGTGAGAAGGGAGAGCACAGCCCCCTCCATGGAAAAGTCAACACAGAAAAGAAGGGATGGGCAAGGCACCCTGGGGCCCCGGCCCCTCTGTGCCCAGAGCCCAGAGGAACAGGAACAGGAGCGGGGACAGGAACAGGACAGCAAAAGCTATACTACCGTCTTCATCTTCGCTCCAGTCTTCCTCTTCCAGGCGCAGGAGGTGACAGGCAGCAAAGGGGGCAAAGCAGAACAGGTTAGTGTGCAGCAAAAAGCCTGGTGGCTGCGCAGGCCACCGCCAGCTCAGAGTTAGGCCTGAACTCCGTTTCCCAAGCTAACGCGTGTAGTGAGATATCCACCCTGCCCTGCACCTGCAGCACTGACCACACCCACTGGGCGCGTGGGGGCAGGTGCAGGTGTGACCTGGGGGGCCTAGGTCTGGGGTCCTGGACCTCAGCTCTCTCTCTTACTTCCTGGTCGGAGACAGACAGCATCTGGAGGCATCCTTGGGATGGGAACCTGTGGCGGTCGTCTGTTTCTGGTGTAAGTGATCTCTCCCACAATAAGCATCCATCAGCCTATCGTTTCCCAGATCCTCATTTACCAGGCTTTAAACACGCAAGCAATATGACAGCCTCACACCTCAGTGACATCCCCAAGCCTCAAGTAGACAGACATCATGACACTCAGTTCCCAACCACTACTGAGAATGGAATGCCTAACACCAAGCAGAACCTGGCCCCTGGAAGCATCCATTCCCCCGCCTGCTTCTAGGCTACAGGCAAGATAGTGGACCCCAGTCTCAGAAAATAGGAAAAAATTCACTTCCCCTCCAACTTCTCCTGTATTCCTACCCTGAGTGAGTTTTGGGACTATCCCACAAAATGCCTACAGACTCCCAGAATCACCTCTAGGAGGACCACCCTGGAGGCCATACCAAAGGGCTGGCCCGGCCTGTTGGAAGGCATGGGCTCATAATCTGAGGAGGCTGACTATGTTCGCCCCTTGTTCTCGATGCAAATCTCTGCTTAAGGAAGAGTTTAAGAAGCTAGCAGGCAGATCTCTGTGAAGTTCCAGGACAGCTTGGTCCACAGAGCTAGTTCTAGGACAGCCAAGGCTACACAAAGAAACCCTGTCTCCAAAAGCCAAAATAGAGGGGGGGGGCGGGGAGGAAGATCTTAGCGGCTGTGGGAAGATGCTTTGTCCTAGAACAAAGGCCGTAAGGACCTGTAGGTTTCAGCTGCTCCTTTCTGAGCCAGAGGCTGTGCCTTGAACCTTTCAGGACAAGTAAGGCACACACAGATGCTGCAAGGAGTTTGCTTCACCGAGATCTTTGACTCCCAGACAGAACAGAACCTACTGTGTGCAGTAGCAGCCAGGCTGGAGGTCCCAAGCCGTTTCCCAACCCCAGAACCTGCTATGATTAGGAGGAAAATCTGCCAAGGCAAAGGAATGCCCAGCAGATGGTGTCCTTTCTATGGAGGAAGTTGGGGGCAGCTGGACTTGACTCAAAAATGCATTTTGGAAGAAGCTGGACAGGCTCATGCCTGTAATCCCAGTACCGAAGCTGAGGCAGTAGGATTGCTACAGCTTGAGACCAGCCTAAACAAAATAAAATAAAACAAAAAGAGCCTTGGCTTGATGATTTGGCTCACCGGTGAAATGCTGGGTGGATCAGGGTGAGAGATCTTTCTAATGGCTCCTAAAAAACTCAGAAGTAGCATCTGTGGACCCTTTCTGCTCCTGGCTCGTGCTTGGCTACATGACCCGGAACAGGTTTAAAGGCGCAAGGGGACCCTCACTTTTCCCAGAAAGCCTGAGGAGCCGGGGGGTGTGGCTCCCTAGACCACCAGGGCCCCTTTTCAGTGTGTCTACATGTGACCTAACTTTGCTGAACCCCTGTGAGCCAAGCTGGGTGGTGCAGAAGCCAGGAACCACAGGATGGTTCCGGGCCTTCCAGGAGGAAGGACGGAAGGAGAGTGTGATTCCAGAGACAGCAGAGCCCAAGCCAAGGAGGGTGACATGTCGTCCTATCCAAGACGAGGGGACAGCAAGATGGACCTTTGCCGGATTGTAATAAAGCTTCATGCCCATAGAAAATGTGCCCGGCTATGGCGCACTTTCAGATTCACAGCCATGTTTGGAAATGCAGTCAATGGAGGGTTCTTTGGTTTGTTCATGGCACTGTGATTGTGTTTGTTTAATGGTGGTTATTTTTTTCTAAGTCTTAATTTAACTCTCTCTATACACACACACACACACACACACACACACACACACACACATATGTTTTGCCTGCATGTATGCCTGTGCACTATTTGTGTGCATGGTGCCCACAGAGATCAGATGAAGGTGTCAGGTCCCCTGAAACTGGAGTTACAGACAGTTGTGAACCACCATGTAAGTAGCAGGAACTGAACCCGAGTCCTCTGGAAAAGCAGCCAGTGCTCTTAACTGCTGAGCCGTTTCTCCAGCCCACATATCCTGAGATGTGTGCTGAAACAGTAACGTGTGCATCTGGGAATGGTTTGGAGTGCCTCTTCAGAGCAGCTGAAGATGAAAGACGTGTTTATGATTGCGCTGGGTGATGAGTGTGTGCATGTGTGTGTGGGGGGGTCATTATGCTTTTCTCGCTGTCTACATAACACTTCAAAGTTTAATGGTAAAAATATGTTTTATACACACCACACAGACATATATGTATGTATGTATATATGCATATACATATATATGTGTGTGTATACATATATATGTATGTGTGTGTATATGTGTGTGTGTGTGTGTGTGTGTGTGTACAAAGTGATTACTTGGGACATCTCTGCTCTGCTAGGAGTTCAGGGCAGAGAAAAACAAGCTGTTTCCCCAGAACCACAGGCCTCCCAAAACCACTCTCTGACTCCCCATGTCCCTGAAGAACATACCTTCCACAGCTTCTGTTCAGAAGAGAAGGCCAGGGTAAGAGAGAAGAGAGAGAGAAGAGGTAGGTCACTTTGCAGCCATACTGTCCTCCATCAGCCTGCACACAGGTGAGCACTTACCTTCCTGCTCCCTGTGTATGGAAGGAAGAAGACACTGTCAGAACCTGTGCACATGCTACACACCAGAGATGCATATGCATGCATGCGTGCGCACACACATGCATGACTTTTCCCTGAAGCCAGTCCCCTTATCCACTCCTTCCTTGGGCAAATAGCACGCCATCCTCTGGCTTGCCCTGCAAAGGCCCCCAGCAGCAGGGCCCACCCTCCTTAGCCTGCCATTTGCAAATGTCTAAGTCAACAAGCATCTTCAGCATTCTTCCTGGGTCCGTATCACCTAACCTCTGTGGCTATCCCAGGCAGAGCTCCTTTCCAGAAATACCTTTCCTCCCAAGACTACAAATGCTGCCTACCTTCTCCACACAGCCACCTCTGCCTATCCCAGTGCCCCGTCTCCCTCTCCCCCGAGCTCCTGTGCAACCTGGGCCACATCTGGACATCACATCCCTTTGCTAAGTCCTTCCAGGGATCTGAACAGGAGTGATACTCGTGGGCCCTGGGGCAGGATGGATGGGGGAGGCCAGCATCTCTATGGCCTCGTGAGAGCTGTTAAACCCGTAGCAGTTTCAATGGCCCCCCAACTTCTCAGCTTTCCCCCCGAATGCCAGGAAAGTTCCTGAATGCCTGGAACTGAACCCTGTATTCCCAAAGTCCCCAGCCTGAGTTGTCTGGGATCTGCTAAACAGAGCTACAAAGATGGGATGGGAGGGAAGAAATCCAAACTCCAAGTCCTGGAAACGATGCAGCCACTCCCACCAGGACTGAGGGTTGCGGGGGGGGGGGGGTCCATGGGCCGGGTATGAGGGGACCACATACAAGACAGGATGCTCCCAATACGATACTTACTCTTCGAACTCCTCCACCACCTCCTCCGCGTCAGACATGGCCTCGGCTCTCCCTCCAGAAAGAGAAAAACATCATTGCAGGTTGTAAGAGAAGGATGCCTTCCGCAGGAGCCCTCCGCAGCACCTAGCTATAGCGAGCTCAAAGAAGCCCGGGGGACGAATTCACTGTGTGGCCCACAGGCAAAGCCAGTTTCTCCCTCTTCAGGGAGCAAACCGCGATACTTCCGCCACAGCAAGGCGCTAAGCAGCGTTCACCCTTTCCCTTCCCCTGAGCAGGCACCCTTCCATTCCTATTTGCAATTCTCAAAGAAACGTTAGCTGTACTTCTCTACTTCTCCAGGGAGCAGAGAGCCCTAGCGAAGCGCACCTTATTTCTGTTCTCAATGTTTATTTCATCAGGGCCTGGGATACGAACTCGAAAAGGCAACTGTGATGGCTGTAGGCTGTATGGATCCATTTATGACTTTCTTGAAATGGCAAGATTAAAAATGTGGAGAATAAGGCACCGGAGCTCATGAGGAGAGCGGGGGGGGGGGGGGGGAGGTTGAGTAATTAAAATACGCACAAGGGGCCTTGTCGGCCCTTTAGAAAGTCACGTATTTATTGATGTGTGTGCACACGAGTATCACAGAGCGTGTGTGTGGAGGTCAGGACAACTGGCTTGTTTCTTCCACCATTTGGGTCCCGGGGTCACGTCAGGCTTGGTGGCAAGTGCTCTTACCACCGAGCAACGTCACAAGTCCCCCGTGTAGGGGTGAACACACACACATGCCCGGGTTAGAACTGCCTAAGAACTCAACCCAAAACACAAGTGAAGCTGGGGTGGTCTAAGTGAGATCGTGATGGTCTGCGCCTGAGTCTTGACATCACATTATATAGTTTTGGAAATGTTTTCTCTGGGGAACGTGGACAAAGGGACACAAGAAAATTTTGTTTTCTTTCTCTTTTTTGACTTCTCTTATTTTTATTTTTTTTTTATCATGTGTCTGTGGACACACGGAGTGTGTATGTCTGTGTGTGAGTCTGTGCACAAGAGGAATTCAGATCCCCTGAAGCTGAGCCCCCTGACCTGGATGCCAGGAACCCACCGTGGTCTTTAAGTGCGTGCTCTTCGCTGCTGAGCCATTTCCCCAGCCCTTTTGTATTATTTCTTAGGCGAGTGTTGATCCACATTATCCCAGTAAAGAGTCCAGCTTTAAAGTTGTCCCCATGGCTTCAAAGTGTAACTGGGGCAGGGACAGCGCTGGGGTCAGGCTCTCTTCTCTCAGTTGGCTGAGGTGTTGGTGCGTCTGTAGCACAGTTGAACCCAGGTTCTCTCTGAATGATGGAGGGAGTCAGGCATCCTGGCTAAGGGGCCTTATGGGGACCCAGCGGATAGTGAGTGGATGCCTAGGCATGGCCAGATGTAATTATGTGGACTCGTAGTTGCAAGAAGCCACGGGGGAGAGGTGGGAAGAGCAAGACCTCCGTGTGAGAGTCATCTGGCGCCCTTGAGTGTGACCTTGGAGAGGTCATTTCGTTTTCCTACACCATAATTCCCTCGGGGACCCCTCCCCTGTGGTGTATGCAATAGAGTGAACGGATTAGAGATAGTGTAAAGTGCTTGGCCTGAGAACGATTTCTACCCATATTATTATAACCCGATTCCCGGAAGTGCATCGGTGCCTAACCCAGAGACACTGTCACGTTGCCTGAAATGTGGACAGCGCCCCCTGTTTTTTGCAATAACCTGCCAGTTTCGAGGAGAAGGACCACACGATGCGATGCGGTGGGCTCAAGAGCAATAGGAACATGCTAACGATAGGCCCGCCCTCCCATCTTCCTCTTGTGCCTTGCTTGCTGCCCACACCGAAGCCACACCCACCCCCGTAGCCTCACCGAAGCCACACCCACCCCCGTAGCCTGCCCCCCCCCCCCCCGTTGCTGGTGGGACATGGATGGTCCTGCCCCTGCCTTCTCCAGCTTTCCTTGCATATCCCAAAGCAGGGGAAGAGGGCTGAGACCCTACCCAACTCACATCTACAAAAGGCAGTGAGCTGCTGGGTTGAGCTGGTGGTCAGCACAAAGCCCACGCTGAGACTGGGCCGTTTCCAGCAAGCTAGCAGCACTGGCTAGCTGCTGTGAGGGGAGACTGCCTCAGACTCAGAGCTCACTGCAGCCTGGGATTGGTCCAGGCCCGCGAGGCAGGGGACAAGCGCAGCCAGTCCCTGCTCCGCTGCCTCTGCCGGGGTAGGCCAGAGACAGTGGGGGGGGGGCTGTTCAAGGGGAGCTCTAGACAGCAGCCCTGCCTGCGCAGAGTGTCACCCTGCCCCCCCACCCCTCATCCCACCCCTCACCCCACCCCCGTATTAAGATAGTGGCAAAGGGCTGTCTAAGGTGTACGATGTCTCAACAGGGGGTGGAGCTGTGTTCTACTGAGAGAAGACTCCAACACCAGATGCCCTCCACCTGGGCCTCAGGATGAGCATGGCCAGCCCTGAGCCCAGCAGTTGGGTCCTAACCCCAGGGGAGCAGTCAGGGCCTGTGAGGAGTCTGGGAGTGTGGGGGTGATGGGCAGTGCTCTTGGAGGAAGGGGCGTGGCTACCCCAGGTCTTATCATTGCTGGGCTCTCTCCTGCCCTCCCTCCCACCAGCTTAGCCGCTGGGCATCTTGCTGACGTGAGAGGAGGTAGGAGCAATTTGGACTCCCCACCCTGGCCCCAGGAACACCATCAAGCTCCCCAAACAGCACACAGACCGCAGAGGAGTGTGCTTCCGGGGGAGGGGCACACCTAAGCCGGTAGACTGGGAAAAGAAACGGGGGGGGGGGGGCTGACTCTGAGGGCCACAGAGTGGGAAGAGATGAGGAAGCTGGAGGATGACCCTAACCCAAACCCTAGGGCCCTACCCCCCCCACCAGCTTCTTACCAGCTGACTACCCCCACTGAAAGCCGCAGGGGTCACTTTTCATGGGTGATCAAGCAAAACAACAGAAGCCAAATGTGGGCTCTCATCAAAAGATGTGAGTCTTAAACCCAGCTTTTACTGTGTGGCCTTAGGTAACTCACTAGCTGTCTCTGAACCTTTCGTTGATTTACCTATAAAATAGATTAGCTTCAGATTCTGGCCTTGCGGTTCCTGAGGAATGTAGGCTCTGTCCTTTAGCCCTGGTCCAGAGCACAGAGCTGGGACCTTCCTAAAGCTACAGCTGTTAGCCCAGGAGACTAGCTGAGGAATCAGCAGAGGGTAGAAGGGGGGGGGCATAGGCAACTTGATCCCCTCAGATTCTTCTGCCCTGAGAGGAGGAGGGAGGGCCTGTCCAGTGAGAGCAGGAGCCCTGGAGGTCAGGTAGCTTCCCAGCTGGACTCCCTATGGAATGTGCTGGAAATGTCTTAGACTTAGCAATTATCTCCTAAGCAATCCTTCCCTACACCCAGAAGTCAGAAAGCCTGCCCACAATGCAAAGTCACCAAGGGCAAGTTGGGGTAAGGCAAGGGTCACACTGGAAGGGACTCAGTGGGTCCCAGGGACATCCTTCCAATGTATCTCGTATCTCCTGAGAAGGGATCTGAACTCACCTCCCCCACCCGCCCCATGCTAGCCAGTCTTGACCTCCTCCAGGAGTGGGGTCACACCCGGTCCCGGACGCCCAGTGGATAGCACATCTGCTTGGAGAAACCCCATCAGGCCCGCATGTCTCTGGATGTTTGACCTTTCCCATTGCTTCCAGGGCAGCATCTTTGTCCCTGGACACGAGAGCCGTGTCACCAGAATTCATTGGCAAATATAGCCACGGCCTTATCCTGCTCTCTAGGCCTCTAGGAGAAAGGTTTGGGTGGTCCTTAACCGGGAATCAAGGAGATGGACAGAGCAGTCCGGGGATCCCTGTTGGCTAGGGTTTCGCTGTATTTACTGGCCCAACAGGGCTCTCTACTGTGAAAAGTAGATCTGGGGAGGGAAAGCAACCTACTCAAGATTTTAAAACCACGCAGCATCGGGACCTCCCACCCACTTCCCACCACTCCACGGCACCAGTGTTGGAGTCTGCCCTGGGTACCGCTCCTCTGCACATGGAGCTGTTCTCCACTCTAGAAGGGTTCGTGGATTTCCATCAACCTAGTGAGCACCCGCACAGACCAGGGAAACCTGCAGGGCCGAATCCCTTGTGTTCTTCCACCCGTCTCTGCCCTCTCCTAGAACACCCACTGGTCTTACCTCTGAACAGGGGCAGCACACGGGTCCCGAGGTATCTATCTACTCAGCCTCGGCAGGGACTGGCCGAGGGCAGGGCATGGAGAGGCTTTAAGCAGGCATGTGGGCTGGGGCCTTGAGAGCCGGGCCCTGTGGTGGGAGGAATGTGGAGAAGATGGGGGGGGGGGGAACGACACAATAGGGGGTGTTGGCTGCTATTTTGGCAGGTGCCGGGCACAGGGCTGAAGGAACAAGTACCCAGTGCCATATAAGCTCATGCGGTCCTCCAGCTGCCCACATAAGCTATTTAAAACCAGAGCAGATATGCTGGGGACAGAAACCAGCTGTCCCTCTTGAGAACCCTGATAAAGCAGATGCCAAAGTCCAGGCCCGGGGGGTGGGGGTGGGGGGAGGGCCGGGAACAGAGCTGGGGACAGAAGTCAACCTCAGAGTCACCTCAAGAGCCTCAGAGCTAGGTCCTGGGGAGCAGAAGGTGAGAGCTGGTGGGGACAGGGATCTTCTGGGCTGCTGCTGCTGGGCCAAGGGACCTCAGGCAGGTGACAGGCTCTGCAGGCCTCAGAAAGAACACCTGGAAAGTTGTCTCCATGATCCCCAAGCCACAAGCCGTGTCCCTCTCACAGGAGTGAGCTCTCCACCTGCCAGAGGAGTGTGGGCACCAGGCCGGCCGGCCACTCCTTAGGCTGGCGGCAGGAGTATGAGCCGGTGCGGAGCGTCGTTGGGGTTTCCCCTCGGGGTTAAAGCAGTTTTGCCTGGCTTGCCCACTAGATCAAAAGGCCCATAAGATCAGGACCCAGCTTTTGCTGTAGCCTGGCTGTTGATGCCCACCAGCCCGCAGAGGGTGACTGGCATAAGGTGGAGCTCAGGGGATGATGAAACCATAAGAAGAAAGTAAGTTGGGAGGCAGCTGAGCTCTCTCCATGCCCAGAATCCTCAGCAGGTCCCACCAAAGCCTGAAGAACAGATACCTCCACGGACCAGGCTCACCTTCCCAGGTGCCCCAAGCCCTGAATGCCGGACCCTTCCAGACAGTGTTAGTGACTCACTCTCTTGTTTCCACACTGGGCTCAGCCAGCCTCTGCCCTTCTCTCCTGGCCATGGGCCCTGCCTCTCTAGTTCCAGCAAAACTTTAGAGGGACAGGGCTGCCTCTGTGTGTAAGGACCCTCTGCATACAAGATGTCCACACTTGTAGCCAACTCACCCATTATCCAGCTGACACAGCTTGCCTTCCCATGATTCCTAGCAGCCTCTGAACCCAGTGACTTTGATCCCCAGCTCTGGGCTTACCGCAAAGCTATGTGTGTCTCTGTGCTGCCTCAGGTCAGTAGCAGGCCCAGTGGAAGCCACAGGCCTGGGGGCAGCATCCCAGGAAAGGGAGGGCTCAGGAAAACTTGGAGGGGGGCTTGGGAAAGTCAGGGGGGGGAGACTAAGAGGGATAATGAAGACAAAGCCAGGCTGACCTCACAAAGAACATGGCAGCCAGCTTTTCCCTTCCAGTGGAGCCCACCAAGCCCCATTTTGCATTCTATTTCAGTCCAGAATCTCCCAGAATTTAGGATTTTCTCTTCCTAAAACCTCCCTGAATTTAAACTACTTTCCAAAAAGGCCAATGGCCTTTCAGACAGGCCATCAACCCACATACAGCAGCCTCCTCCTAAAAAAACAGTGGGTTCTTAGTATCTGGGGACCCTAAGCGTGGGGTTTCATCCAGAGAGCCACTACTGGGCAGCCACATTGGCGCATAGTAGGGCAGCTCCAGAAGCAACTTGGACAGTGGTCATTACAAATAATCATGTCTCTGCAAATAGGCAGGAAATCAGAAATGCGGTGATCTCAGCTGGTGTATGCCCACTGGGATACCCAGCCAATGACAGGATGCTCCTGGGGTCCCCAGGCCACAGCAGCAGCCGAGTAGGGAGGGGGCTCACCTCCAGGGGGCACCTCCTACAAACGCGTGCGCGTGCGCACGCGCACACACACACACAAGCATGGTACAGGACTGGAAAGGGGAACCCTGGGGAGAAAGATAGGGTGAAGGTATGTATGTGTGTGGCAACTCTGCACTCTTACATGTTTTTATTTTGTGTGTGCTTTGCTTGCATGTATAGCCATGCACCAAGTACATGCCATGCCCACAAATCCCCTGAAACTGGAGTTTCAAATATGTTAGGTGCTCACACTCGAACCCAGGTCCCCTGGAAGAGCGGCCGGGGCTCTTCGCTGCTGAGCCATCTCTCCAGCCCCCAGTACTGTACTGTTAAATCACCAAGCTGCTGGTGAGCCTACCCCCTTAATATGAAAGAAATTGGGAACGAGGTGTGTTCCTCTTTCCACCAAAGCCAGTGACCCCCTCTCCCCCGTGACCCCCGCCTCCCTGCAGCCGACTCCAAAGGGAAGCAAAGGCATCCGCGTCACCAGCCACTTAGACCTGAGAATGAGTGAGTTTATCACATTCTTCCTGAGAAAAGACTTGTGTGGAAGTAAGAGCAGTAGTAATATAAAAAGGCACGGAGCTCCAGATTGCGGGGAGCGCGTGGGGTTGGGGGGAGCCGGCGATAACAAAGCAGGGAGATGTAGGGCATGGGCAACACCTGGTGCCTTTCCAGTCTGGCTTTGAAAAGCCTCAGTGAGCAGTAACTGGGTCTAGGACTTAGTGAGGTGACACCACAGGTGTGCAGAGTGCCTGCTGGGAGCAGACAAGACAGATAACTCTGGGGCTGGCAAAATAACCCAGCCTGACGCTGGCAGCGAGCAGGAGGAAGGGACAGTCTCTGGACAGGTCAGGGAGACTCCATGGCTGACGTGCTCTGGGTCCTTCTGGGTATAGGATATATTGTGCCTGCAGCCAGAGCACGTCTGTCCCCCCAGGCAGGGCTGGGGGAGGGGCCGCAGAAGTGTCACTCTGGCCCCCAGGGGCCCTGGCCAGACTACTGTCTGAGAGGCAGAAAGGGAACGAGGTCAGTCAGCAATAGTCAGGGGTACTGCAGGGCAGGGGCCGGCATGAAGAAGGCCCTTGGGGTACATGTCTGCAGAGCTTGTCACACCTGTGGGACAAAGGACAATTAGAACAAGGAAATTGGTTTCCTGGGGCTGTGGGGGAGGGCACCTCTGGACAAGAAGATAACCCTTTGGACAAGCAACTTCCACCCACCCTGGGTAAGTACCCGGAAGCTGACGGTTAGACGGCTCAGGCTTTGCCAAGCTATGGCTCAGCCAAGCCAATACAGGGCTCCCATCATCCTCATCTAAGCACGTAGGGATGGGCAGAGCCTGGGTACTCAGACCACGCAACTGCACGCGTCTGGATAGGTCTGGGGGGGGGGGTCTTCCACCGCATCGCAGGGCTGGGTCCCTTCTGGCTCACTCACCTCGGCATCCAGGGACATGGCAGGCTTGCTTCCCCACTGGGCCCTCCTGGTGACAGATGTCTCTTTCTGTGTGTCCTGACCAGGGCATCAAAGTAGAGACCAAGATCTCAGGGGTAAAGAGGGACTCCGGGTCCCCACATGCCCCCTACTCCAGGTGTCTCTGTTCTTTTGAAGGGACAAGGACCCACACCTCTCTTTAGCTCTCACCAGATCCACTTCTGAAGTGACCCATGGCCTATCCCTCCTCTGACCTGACATGTGGGTAAGGGTACCTGAGGGCCCTGGTCTCCAAAATCCTGGGTCTTGCTTATCCACAGGTTAAGTCTTGACGTCACAACCCCTGACAGTCGCAGATTCTCCTAGGAAAATAAAAAAAAAAATCCCACCTTAAGGCTCAGAGTCTGTGACAACCCTAAGGCCCTTCCAAAGGCCCCAGAACGGGGACAACATTCTCTCCACCAGCGTCCACTCAGCACAAGCTGTGTGTACCTGGAAAAGGCCCCATCGCCGGAGTTCTGCACTCAGTTAAGGAGATCCAATACAGAACAATACAGGCCCAGGCTTCAGGGATGTCAGCCTGGAGCCCCAGCGGCTGAGATCTGGACCTCACCTTTCGGATGGTTGGTTCTGTGCGGTTCTGGCCTGCCAGCTCCTTCTCAAAGAGGTGACGCCTGCTGGCTACACCGGCAGGAGCCACAAGGACCTCAGTGCGGGAGGAGCCTGGGGACCTGACGGATTCGGATCTCTGTAAATCGGTAATGCGAGTGGCTGAGCCAGGACTGCAATTTCATAAATAGAGCCCTCAGCCCCGGCAAGGCTCCGCCCCGGCAAGGCTCCGCCCCGGCAAGGCTCCGCCCCGGCAAGGCTCCGCCCCTGCAAGGCTCTGCAGGAAGCCTCTGCTCCTACCTGTATGGCCGTATGGTATCTCTCCAGTTTCTCTCCTAGCTTCACCGTGCTAGCTGGCAGCCTCACACTGGCACTGCAGGACGGGGAAGACAAACTGAGGTGAACCAGCTGAGACTCTGCACCCCAGGGAGGTCAGGCCTGCCGCCAGGGCTTGAAAGCAACCCACCCCACCCCCTATTCTCCTGGAAAAGAGGGAGGGCAGCGACTGAGGAAGTCGCCTCTGTTGCAGAGTGGTTTGTGATGACTTGGTCAGGGTGAAGTCTGTAGACTCTGGGGACTTTCACACCTTGGAGGAACAGCCCGCCTACTCCACAGGGCAGCTCAGCGCCAGACACTTCCCATTGCTTCCTTTCACCCCTTGCCACCTCCTCTCTCCTCAGCTCTCACAGGCGGGGAGGTCATTACAGCCTGGAGCTCCCACCCTGGGAACACACTGCTGCCCCTGCAGCTGCCTGCCCGGGTGGCCATGTGTTAAATGGCCTCCAGTGAGCTGCCTGAGGTTAGCCACTGTCCTGTGTGTTTGATCTCTGTTCCCCGGTCCCCACCCCCAGGCCTGTGTCTAAGAACGTAAGCCCTGATTAAAGGTTTAGCAGGGTAGGTAGTCCAGCCCGGGTGGAAGAAACTTGTAACACCAGCACTAAGTTTTAGATCTTATTCATGTTTGCCCCCCCTCCCCCCCCCCGGGCAGTGTAGCATCCTCCATCTACTTGGCTCAGCCTTACAAGGGTAGTTACCAAACATGCAGGTTCCCGGACACGACTCTAGGCCTGCCACAGCTGAGCCATTTTCTTCTTCGTCCTAACCATAGTCTCCCCTCTGGAAAGTTCTCTTACCTTCTCTCACACCAACTCTAAGATAACCAAAGCCTCCTCCCACATCAGAAGCCCATTAAAGCTGTGTGTCCTCCAAGCAACTCTCCCAGGGACCACAGGACAAGGACACAAAGCTCTCATGGTACTCCCCCCCACCCAGTGTCACCTCACCGAACCCCAGGACCTCCTACCAATCTGGTCACCTTGCCAAAGCTAGAGTCCCAAGCAAAGCCTGTACCTCCCCTAATGTGTGCGGTGGCACAGCCTAGCACAATGGTGCAATGATGACAGGTGAAGGAAAAAAGAAAACAAATCATGGGCCCCAGGCAGCTCACCTGCGGGTTAAGGTTGTTTCTGAGTTGTCTTTCCTGGGGCTCATCTGAAAGAAGGTGAGTGAGGGTATTAGGAAAGCCCATGCCCGTCTCCAGTGAGGAGTCTAGTTCTTACTGCATCTTCTTCCTGGGAAAGCACCTGCTCCCCTGCATGCATGAACCCAAGCCTTCATTAAACGTCTTAATCTAGAAGCGCCGGCCTTCACCCTTCAATGCTGGTCCAAAGCCTTTCCTCTGCCACCTCACCCCAGCCTGGCCAAGTTACCTGTTTCGACCCATATTCCCATCTGCCTCTCCACTAACCAAGAGCCTTGAGGGTGCTGGTCAACCTCAGGCACCTGCATCAAGGCACATTTAATCAATGGATTAAATGAGTAGATAACCCAGTAAGCAAAAGAACCAAGACTAAGTACTGAGACAGACCAGACTTCCCAATCTCACAACATGGAAGCAAGTCAGGGGCAGAGAACACTGGAAGGAAAGCTGGGTGTCCTGGCCCGCCTCTTAAGGAAGCTATAAGAGGTCCATGACAGGTCTGTCTGGTCTGGCAAGTTCTTCTTCCTGCAGTTCTGATCTTATCCACTAGGTGGGGCTGTCTCCATATGCATTTTCCAGGTCTTCAACCTTTACTTACAATGATTCATCTGGTTTGGGCACCCATCTAAATTCAAAGCTCCTCTTTAGTCAGTCTCTAAAGAGACTTTCTGTTGTGTAACCTAGGCTCTTGTGTAAGGGTTTCCTTTGCATGCTCTGCAGTGGATCGATGGCTAGCCCTCCCCACACACACACACATACACTCTTACCCGGAAGGAGATGGTCCTGGGGCTGGAGCGTTTAAGGGAACTGCTGTAGGTAAGCAGGGTAGGCGAGGGTATGTCTGCCTCTTCATCCTTGCTGGGGATTTTTACCTGAGTGGAGGAAAGGTGTCAGACAAGAACTCACAAGAGTAGGTGCTCATAAGCTCAATCAGTCCCCAGGCTACACTTCCAGGGGGACCTCAGGTGGCCTGGCTCATCCCAGAAGCTAGAGATGTGACAATCAGTCAACCCTCCTACTCACTGGCCTGCCTCTGCTATGTGTGACCATATAGTCTCATGATGCCCGGCCTCCAGGCAGAACTTTAGTTTTGGAGGGCTCTGGGTCTCCCTAAGAGCTTGCCAGCTAGTCCAAGGGTCCCATGCTTAATGGGTGCTGGTTTCCTCCGTGGCTCTGTGGTAGACAGGTGACAAGGTTACCCTGGCTCTGAACAGAAATAAATGGCCTGGGTGCTGGAGTCCAGGGCCTGGATGAGGATTCGGTTGGGACCCCAGGTGCCCTCTGCAAATGGGTCCTTTCCACTACAACAACCTACCTCTGACTCTGGGTCCTGTTCAGACAGCAGCTAGGGATTCTGACTTGCTAAGAGGGAAAAACCTGCCGAGGCCAGCCCAGAAGTGGGAGGAGAGGAGAAAAAAAAGGGAGAAAGGGGCAATGCCAACCTGCAGTGTGATGGGTGGGAAGCAAGGGGCCTTCGTCGGAGCATCTGAAGTGCCCTGCTCTGCAGAGGAAGGCGGGCTCTTCCCAGGGACAGCCCTCCCTCTGGGCTCCCTTGCGGTGACCTGGCTTCCCCCAGGGGCCTGGGGCTGCTCTGCCGTTGCCTTCTTTGGAGTCAGCTTTGTCTCTGACACTAGTGACTTCTCAAAGAGAGATGCTTTCTCTGACACCAGCCGCCGCTCTTGCATCTTCTCAAAGACCACGGCTTTTTCTAGAACCGGAGTGGATCTTCTCTCTGGTGCTGCTGTCTTCAGAGACACGAGTGTCTTCACGGGGACAGGCGACTTCTCGGATGCACTGGTCCTTTCAGGGACCAGCTTCTCTGGGCTGCGTTTCTTCTCAGGCTGGGATGCTGTATCTGTGGCCACCCCCTTCTCTGAAGGGCAGGCTTTCTCTGAAGCCAGTCTCTTGGCAGGCACTGGAGTCTTCTCTGGCACAGGCGATTTCTCAGAGACCAAGGTCTTCTGCTGGACCACTGCCTCCTCTGGAAGCCCCCTTTCCGCTGCTCCCTCGAGCTCTCTGCTCTTTATGTTCTCTTCTTCCCGGGCCCAAGGGCCTCGCTGCTCCTGACTCAGTCTCCGTCGAGGCAGGGCTTCCACTTTCCTCTTAGGCACAAGGGGCTGTGTCAAGGTCTGCTCGGGGCCTGGGCTGTCCTTTTCTCCCTCTGCCTCCAGCCTCTCCTGCACTGGAGCCTGGGCAGCCTCTACCACCTGACGCCTCTGTCTCCGTTCCTTCCGAGTTCTAAGGATGGCTTGGAAGTCCTCTTCCTCATCTTTGGAGACTGGAGGCGAGGGCTTGGGGGTCTCTGCTTCCTCCACACTGGGCAGCCTGAAACAAAAGACGCGGGGGGACAAGGTGGACAGAATCAGGTGACATCAGGAGTGAGGGGTGACCCTGGCCGTAGCTGACTCAATGAGATGCCTCCGGGGCCACCAAGGAGGAAGCAAACAAGTGAGACCCTGCTCGTCCTGCCCCACCACCACTATTTTAAAAACAATCCCTTTTATCTGTTCTGTATGCTGCACTTCCGAGGGGTCTCTTGAGCAAGGCACCCTGGGCTCCAGAAAAATCACAGATCCCTGTCTAGTGTACACTGAAGTGTTCCTTGTCCAACCACAATCGCTAACACTAATCAAACAACTGCTTTGTAGGTTCTGGGCCCCGGGGCAACATTGGCCAGGAGGGCTCAAAGGAATGAGTTCAGTCCAGCAGAGCCTAGAGGAGACCATGGCAGCTAACTGAGAGCTAAAAGGAAAACCCACAGCCTCTGAGGGACCATTCTCTTATCCTGCCCGTTGTAGGGGTATGTCTGAAACATGGTGGCGGTCATGGGTTCGGGTCAGTCCAGGGACACAGCCTGGTTTTTTTTTGGGGGGGGGGGATGTAAAGGAGCAAAAGCAACATAAAATAATTGTGCAACACTCAGAGGTCCTGGTCCCCTGCCACCCTACTTTTCATGTGATTTCCGGCAAGTTAACTTACTGTCTGAGCTTTTCAATCCTATAAACTGAGCTTGTTAGGCAGTGGAATGAGACCCATCCTGTGAGAGCGAAGTCCTAGCACACAGGCGGCATTCAGGAAGTTCTGGGCCCTTTCTTCCCCTCATAACCCCCAAACCTAGATGTCAAGATTGGTACCCTTCTGCTCCCCTCGGAAGGGGGATGATCATGGTATGGGGAGGTAGCCTGTTTAGGAGAAATTTGACAAAGCTGGATGAACGCTGAGACCACACTCACTACTGGGCACCGTACCTCGACGAGTTATCCAAGCACGCTTCCCCAAATCTCTCCTGCTGTAAGACAAGTTTCTAACAGTGGCCTCTCAAACATCACGAGGACTGAGAGAGCTACACACATCACTAAAATGTCCAGCAGAGTGAGACTCATGGACAGGTCCACCAAACACCCCATGAGTGTGATGACGATGACGGGGATCATACTCGGTCTGAGGATGGGTCTAGGGACTATGAGGAACTGGAATTTCATCTTCCCACCATCAAACTTATCCCTGAACCAAATCTCTAGCAGATCAAACAGATCTCACATAGTCTTCTGGAGTAGCTAGGTCCCCCACTTCCACTCAGAATGGGGAAATGATGTTCAGACTCTAACACAACCACATACCTCTCCACGGATCTCCGAGCTCCATTCTGGGTGAGTTTTGGAGATTCATCATCTGTGGTTGAACTCAGGTTGCGGCGCCTCCGCCTGCGCTCACGCTCCTGTTCCTCCTCATCCTCCAAAGTCCTCTGCCGGGCCAGGCTAGGGGAAGGATGCAGGAATCAGCAAAGCCCTGAGATGGGTGAACACCTTCCCTAGCCAGACTCCCACAGGCTTGGAGAAGACAACCACCTCTAGGCACCCCTGGGGCACTACAGTGCAGATGGCCAGGACAGAGATGTTCTAAGGACAACTGTACACCACATTTCCCAGACCCAGGATAGAGAACACAGTGTAACATTGAAACAGTGTAACATTGAAACAGTGTAACTTTCTTTGATCGCCTCTAGTTCCGGCTAGCCAGACAGCTTCTAAGTACAAACAAACACATTTCCCAGACCCAGCATAGAGAACACAGTGTAACATTGAAACAGTGTAACATTGAAACAGTGTAACATTGAAACAGTGTAACATTGAAACAGTGTAACATTGAAACAGTGAATCACCTAGCTAGATGACTTGAGCTCAGGGAATTCCGGTTACCCTGCACTACAGAGAGAATCTCTATCAAAACAGGAAAATAAAAAGTGTATATCCATCTACTACATGTTAAAATGATCGCTTTTGGGTGTATTAAAGCAAATGAGATATATTATTTAATTTTCCCCTTTTCCATCTTTAACATGGCTGCTAGAAAAATTTAATTTTTCAGTGCAGTTCCTATCTTCACAACTTGCAGCGATATAGTCAGATCAGTGTCTCTGGTTGGCGCCACTTTGTGACCAGCTGCCCTGGATTAGAGGGTACTGAGCAACACCCCTAGACACCAGCAGCAGCATCGCCCAGTTGAGACAACCAAAGACATTTTCCCGCACTGCAATAGCCCCTTAGGGTACTGATACCTCCTGGTGAGCACCATTGGGCTGGATTTTACTATGGGAGCAGAATGTCTCTGGATGGTGGTTCTGTCTGAAGGGAGAAGGTGACCTTGACAAGGTCCTCTCTCTTGATGGACAACAACTGAGAATTGTCTCAAAGTTGCTCACTCCTCACAAAAGCCCTTAGTCTCTGGGGTTGGGGTAAGGATACACTCAAATGAGAGTAAGAGAAAAGCCATTACCACCCTTTCACTTCTCAGGGGCTATCTTCTTTCTGCCTGGAGCAGCAAGGCAACTCCAATATTCTATGTTTGGTTTCCACCCCTGTGACCTTGCATTTGTGGGACTAACTAGACACTTTCAGGCAGCCAAACAAGCCCCCACTAATCCAGTCATCCAGCCAACCAGTCATCTGGCAATTCAAGCAACCCATGCACTTGCCCTTCTTGCCACCCTCGTTCACCCACCCCACCCTACCCGAAACCCACCCATTGCTCACTCTCAGCCCATCTTCCCTTCAACCACCCAGACAAACTACAAGTAAACCCGGAATGGCTCTAACGAACGGGACACCCTTAATCTGAAACTAAGTTTGAGTATTAAGGAAAGTATGCCTTGGCGTATTCCTTTTTCTTATGCATAATTTTATCCTTGAAGAGGCAACTTTTTAAAGGCACATTGTGTTGGCTTGCTACTGAAGAAGGGAATAGAGATAAACATTTCTTCAAAGGGACTTCTGCTTATACATATGTTACAATGAGGATGTGTCAGCCAAGTTTATTTCACTTATGAGGTTTCTCAGAACGGGGAGAACACATCTTTTTAAAGTGGTTTAGTCTGTTATGGTAAAACAACAACAACAACAACAAACAAACAAAAAACAACAAACCAAACAAACAAACAAAAATCCAAAACTCCTGGGTGTCAGCAAAAGACAGAAATCAAAATCCTAGATGGGGGTGCGGGGTATCCCTCTCATTGTCCTAACTACCCCGTTGCAAAACTTACAATTTATATGCACTGAATTGCTTCTAAAGTGTATGTGTGGACCTCTGGTGTCTGCAAGGCAGGCTCGGCAACCTGGTCTAGGGCAAGTCATTGCCTTCCCTTCTTCACTTTTGAAGAGGGCTATGGCCCTCCTGGGTTAAACATCATAGCTATACAGCCAGCATTACACAATGCTTTTGGAGTGCCTACAGGCTGGACATGATTCTGGGAGCTAAAATCCAACAGGAAAGAGAATAACACATCACCCCACCCTTCATGGAGGCTACGGGAGTCAGACAGTAGAAGCAAGGACACAAACCAGGACAAAAACAGTTAGACACGGCTGATCGAAAGAAATGCTTGGGTATACAGTCCTGGCTCAAGAGAAGGAGTCAGCAGTGTCATGCCTGGTGGCACAGGGTCCCTGGGGGAGTGCAGGGCCCTGGCTAGTGTAAGAGCTGATGCTCAGGGGAAGATGGCAGGCTAGGGACAGCCTACAGTACAGAGGAGCTAGACGGGGGATCGGGGACACAGCCTCGAGGTTTGAAGGCCTCTGGAGTCTGACATGGAGGCCAACAACTGTGAAAGAGCCAGTGTGAATGTCACTAGCAGAACCCAGGACTCTCCCCTTCCTGAGAAATCACCGTGTCCTGCCTTGATGCAGAAGAATAGAAACAGGGAGCCAGTTGTGAGCCCCTGAGGGCAATCTACCCATCTCCCTGCATAGGTAAGGGGGTGTCTGATCATTACCCCAAGGAGAGACCTTAGAAGAGAACCTTCTGGAATATCCCAATCCCACCCTTTACAAGAGCAACCTCTGCTCATCTGAGTCACAACTGTATTCCACCTCTATGCAGATGAAAGAGGGCCAGGGTTTTCCCCTACGTCTTTGACCATGGATCTTAAGCAGGACTCTGCTGGGCCTTCACACGAGCCCTGTAATCCTTGTATGTTTAAGGACTGAGTCTTCACTCACCCCCACACTGCACACAAGCCTACAGTCCATCTCTTATGAGCCAGGGCCTGGTGTCCCACCTCTCCTCCACCAACTTCCGCTGCCTTGCAAATGAGGATACGGCTCCTTTTCTGACTCTGCATGCCCCTGCCCCTGTCCTAGTTGGGGAACAACTCCTACCCTCCAGAGAGAGTCCACATCCAGAGGAAAATGAACACTCCCCACCCACACCCGGCAGGGCTGGGCTGGAGCCTCCAGGATTCCTTGACCATGACCAATACTGTTCTCTTATGCTGCTCACTGCCGCTGGGGAAGCAGGGGCTTTGTTTGCCCTCCGCTGGGGCCTTATGTGATGTGCCATCAGCCCAAACCAGGTCTCCTCAAACCCCACTCATACATGACCAGGTTGGGCCAACGCTGGCTGCAGAAGTCAGGGCCAGATGTCCGCTAATCTTTCCAAGCTTTACATCCAGACCCCAACACTCAAGAAGGGTGATATGGTCACCAATGCATGGTGCTCAGAAATCATGAGGCCACCTTCAACCCCTGACATCCAGCAAAACGGATTATTGTCCCCCACCCCAGCAGAAGAATGCTATCGCCAATAAGTGAATATTATTGGCCTCTAAAGGAAGAAATGGACGAAAGTGGAGGAGAAGGAAGGCCAAAGGTCAGATTCCTTATCTCCGGTAATAAATCATTTTTTGGGGGGAGGGAGCTTAAAACAGGGCTTGAAATTCAAATATAGTGGAAAACAAATCTATAAGGAAAAGAATGGGGATGGGGATGGGGAGTTGGCAGTGAGTCTGAGTACTCTACAAACACCACCATACGAGGCACGGTGTTGCTACCACCTCCACCGAGGCTTGGAGGAGTCTGCAATGTTATAGAGAAAGCATGGCTACTAAAAAGAAGGAATCAAGACCTCCCACCTAAGTCACCCTCTGAAAGCTTCATGCCCTAACCAGGACACCAAGGGCCAGGAAAGATACCCCGCAATGCTGGTCCTAAATCAGAGCCTTAAAGCTGAACATTGGAAAGGAAATGAGGGGCAGTGCAAAGCAAGAGCAGGGGCAGACAAGCTTGGGGTGCAGTTATGAGAACAGAGGTTTGGGGAGAGCCAGCAGCCAGCCATGGAGCCCTAGAGCCAGGCCCGATGTGGAACTTGCAGGCTCTAACAGAGGTTTGACAGCTGGCCCTGCAGGCTAGCCAAGCAGCTCCCTATTCACCCCCTTTCCCCAACCTTCTGGCCTTCACTGGGGACACTGCACCTCCAGGTGAGGCTGCTAAACCCTCCCCACTCCTAAATCATAAACTCCACCCTCTCTTGTGGATGACTAAAGACATCACTGCCTTGTTACACTTAGGAGGAGAACCCATTTCGCCCGACGGTCACAGAGAAACCTAGTACAGGGCACAGGAAGGCTAGCTCTGCTGCTCTGCTTTAAATGCCTAGAGGGTTTGTGACGAGGCCCCAGAAGCATTCAGTGAACCCCGGGGCTCTAGGGGCAGCACCTGGGAAAGTGCAGGACAGTGGTAGGGCCCTCCATGTGGCTGTGACTGGGGACACAGCCACAGTTCCTGAGCAGGCAGGCCTCAGACTCCGCTTCCACACACTAGGAGCTACTGCGGGTGGTCCGAGGTCCCTGCCGCACCAGACAGTCCAGAGAGACATGAGAGGGCTGTTAAAGGGCCTGGCAAGGAAATGATTAACCACCGGCCTCCTAGTCCCAGGCTCTCAGATCCTCCCTTCACCCCCCACGGACAGGCTGGCATATCCTCGGGCGATCACCAGATCAGCACATGGAGAGAGGAAGACCGGCCAGGGCAAGCAGCTAACCACTGCCCCATCCCAGGCCTGCAGTTCCTGAGCCTCGCGGATGAGGACAGTGAGTGCAGGCCCACCACATCTCCGTTCTAGTTGAGGCCACCCTTGTCACACCCTCAGCACAGGCCTCCCCAGCCTGGAAGGCTTGGCTCACGGTGACTCACAGTTCTTTCCTGCAGCCGGCTGAGGCTTGTTACTCACTCAGAGAGCAGAACAGGAGTGGCCCTCTGTTCCAGGTGCCTCATCAGGGAGACGGTTGGCAGCAGCTGCATCTGCCCACGGCTTCCATGGAGGCTGGAACTGGGCAGGGAGGCCAGACTAGGTCCTCCGGTGGCAGGGCTGGTTCCCCAAGGGTTCACTATCACCTAGCCTGGACATCCCGTGGGAACTCAGCCCCACCCCTGCAGCCACATGAGTCTGTGTCCAGCTGAGCAGAGGACAAGCTAAGACCAGACCTTGTTCCCATTAAAAATCCTAGTGCCCCCAGCCAAATCCTCTACACAAGAGCATGCGTGCACGCACGCAGCACACACACCTACACACACACACACACACACACAGAGACAGGCTTTTAAACAAAAAATAAGTAAATAAAATAAAATCACAGACACACACCGAGCCAGGTTTTTAAAGAAAAAAATAACTAAATAAAATACAATCACAAACACCCTCATCAGTCTGGGCACTTGGAGAAAAAGAGAGACAGACAGACAGACAGACAGACAGAGATCTGTCTTGCTTTTTAACCTAATATGCAGTACTGACATCTTCAACAACCATTTCAATGGCGCATCCAGGGAGCAAACTCAGCTGCCCACATCCACATCTCCTCTCTACACAGGCCATAAACATGCTCTCCCACACAGAAGCTGCACTCCATGTATCTGAGCATGCATTCATAGGTACCGATGTGCCCACACCCAGAAACAAAGACACTCCCGCACCAGCCCCATGCACACTGACCCACAGAGTCCAAGGCCATGTCCCTGCACCAGCTCCACCCCAGCACATACCTTCCCTGGGGTGTGTCTGACCTCTAAGGCAGCCTGGGTTTCCAGAGCTTTGGGTCTCACTCACCCAGAGGAGGCTTGCCTTTCCCCTTCTCTAGATACTACCGGCCTCTCTGCACTGAGACTAAGGGCAACCATGTCCTCAGAACAGTGTTCTTGGGTCTGAGGAGATGGTCTTCAGACCAAATGGATAAGCTTCTGTGAGGTACTGACATTGGGGGTGGAGAAAACAAAAACAAAAACAAACAAACAAACAAACAAAAACCCAAAGACCTCTGAAGCCCTCAGGGAGACCCCGAGGGGCAGTAGACCTTAGGTGATCTGAAAGAAAACTGTGTGAGAGATGCCTGGATAAGCAAGGCCAAGGTTCCTGTGCTGCCAGACAGTTGCTGGGCTGCACTTACAGAGCTAGCTCTGACCCCACAGGAGGCCCGGAGCCCACTTGACAAAGGCCAAGAGCCTTGCTTACCCTGGCTGAGCCTAAGGAATGGAAAGCCCCACAGCCTCTGCTCCCTTAGGACAAAGGATGCATTTTAAGTCAGGGACTCAGTGGCAGGACGCGGAAGAAAAGATGCTCCTTTCTACAGTTCTGGGGAGGGAGGGGCAGCTCCAAGAGGAGGCAGGAAGAGAGGGGGGCTGCCTCTTGGATACCCACCCCTCCTAGGCTTCTCTGGCCTTGATAAACTGTCCAGCAGGTGGGGATGGCAAGTACAGTTTCTGACCCGCTGGGACCACAAACAGATTGCAGCACAGACGGGGAGGGACAGCAACTATCTTGTTCCCGGTGGCGTAGATGCCACCCCAAATGCAAACTCAGAATTTGAGCCAATCTTAGGATGGGGGAACTGCTTTCTCTGACCCGAGTCACAGACCCGGGCTCGGATGGCTCCATTAGGTGGGGCTAAAGGACACTTCCCCGACGTATTCTAAAAGTCTTAACAGGGGCGCAGGGACTGGGGGTTCACTCAAGAATAAGGCTTGGGGTTAACTCTTGGACCTTCCCAGTCCTGTAAACTGTCCCTTTGCCCTCACAGACAGTGGCACCCTGGGCTGTCCAGGCTGCGGGCCAGCCTTCCCCTGACCTATTCTTTAGGACCTACGGAGACAGAGAGCCGCGGAGCAGGGAGACCACCTCCCTGTCACCTGCGGGGTCGAGAGTGGTCTCAATGCTGACTCCACCGAAGAGCAGGGCTGCAGGCCTGTGTCCCGGGGTGCAGATCCGAAGAGGAGAGGCTGCCCTCGCCCCCCCCCGCACCGCTCCCCCCCCAGTCCCGGCCCATCCGGCCTCGGCGGCCGCTCTCACCTGGACAGCGCGGACCAGTCCTTCCTGCTGACCGACATGCTGCCGAGCCCCGCGGCCGCCGCGCTCCGCGCTCACCTGCGGCCCCTCCCCCGCGCCAGGTAGGGTCACATGGCCGCTTATCTCAGCCGGGCTGGGCCCCGCGCCGCCGCGCTCCCATTCGCCGGCCCCGGGAGCTGCCTCCGGGGTGTGGGCGTCCCAGACAAAGCCCGGCTGAGCTCCGCCGGGGCGGGTCTCCAGCGCGGCCGCTCTGCGGGACTGCCGCACCGGGCTGCGGGCTGCACCGAAGCCGGGGCCAGCGCGGGGCTGCTCTGCCGCTGGGGGCCGGGGCGGGACACTTCCTCCTGCCCAGAACCAGTTGGACCAGCTTGGCGCCGGCCCGCGCCTTCCGTCCGAGTCCCGGCGCCCGGAGTGCCAGGGAGTGGGGCGGGGGGCGGGACCCGAAGAGCGGGGTCAGGCTGAACTCGCTGCCTGGAAATCGACTTAGTCCACAGAAACCCAAGAGCTGGTAGCTGAGCAGGAAAAGTTAGAGCGGGTACCGTAAACTTGGGTGTGGAGTGCCGGCAGCTGTGAGGAAGTGGGCCGGGGTAGGGGGCGGGGGTTGGGGCGTCGTAGAGAACATCCCAGGAGTCTAGAAACTACCTCGAAGACTCCCTTGAGATGAGCAGACACTGCGTGAGAAACATCCCCTAGAAAGCCAGTCTCTCTCAAAAGGAGGTTCAAACCCACCAACAGGGAATGCACAACAGCTATAAACAAACAAACAGACGCATAAATAAATAAACACATAAATAAAAAACCATGTGCACCAAAGGCACGGTCCTTGCTCTCTGATACCCCACCCCACCATGGGCTAAGGGGCAGGACTTAACTGCCATGGGAGCAGAGTTTGGCTCCCCCGGGAAGAAAGAGGGCCATAGACAACTGAAACTAATTTTGCACCAACCTAATGCAACTCGGACACCACCCACGGGCACCCATTTGGGTGGATACAGCACCAATAGCTTTCCTCACGGCTAACTACCTCCTGGCTGAGCAAGCCAGGGTCAGGTAGCTGGATGGGAGGATTTTATCTTCCCTGAAAGATCCGAAATGGTATCAACGGCTCCTGCTACAAGCCCTGCAGGTTGAGAAGTCAGAGAGGGCAGACTCCAGAGGTCCACTTGCCTCTGCATCCTGAAGACTGGGAGCGCTAGAATTAAGTCCTGAGCCACCACAATAGGCTAGGGGCCAGGGGGGATTAATCAAAGGTAGTATTATGCAGGAGGTGGGGTTAGCATCGGAAAGCTGAACTGTGAGGCAGAGATTGACATGGCTGGTGGTTCCTCTCTGCCTGGTGTGAGAGAGCGGGATTGAGTAGAGCCAGGGATTCCAGAGGACTGAGGGAGGAAGTTGGCTACAGACCACAGAGGGTTTCTTGACCTTTTAACCTGATAATTAGTGCTCCGTTTGAGGAGCTATCTCTACATTGTCATGAGGTCAGCAGCACCCAATGCCAATTTGAATTAAAGGTGTTAGTTAGAAGGGGCTATCGGGAAGACCATCCGATGTCGGTGTGGGACCTCAGCAGATGGCTTGGCATTGTGTGCCCATAGCCCAAGGGCAGGGGTTGAGCAGGAAAGAGGAAGCAATGGGTTTTCATCAACCTAGAGTTGGTGTCTGCGCCCCTGTCCCGACTCCCCAAACTTCTTGCAAAAGGAATCTCCCCTCAGTGTTCCCTGAGCCCTGTGCTGAGTGTTCCAGGTGCTCACGAGCAGTTTGGAGAGTCACACTAACTTTATGGTACAGAAGAAAATCTGTACCACTGAAGGTGACATTTAGGGTCTGGGTCAAGGGGTTTCTGGGCATCCGGGACCCCTGGCCTCTGGGATCAGATAGAGCCAGGGTGTGGTGTCCCAGCAGCTCCCAGACTTGCAACTGGAGTGTAAATGGTACAGCTGGCAACGGTAACCATGTTCTTGCATTCCTGGATAGAAACACTCTCGGGCATGAACACCAGAGGAGAGGCCCATGATATTCAAAGCAGCTGGGAAGCAGAAGGGATGAATCAGGGATGACTTAAAGACCAGACCTGTGGTACCACATAGCTTATCTGGGAACAGAGATGGCCACACGGTTAGCAGACAACCTATACCAGGATACACAAGACAAGAGATGATTTAGGTCCCGACAGGATGGAATAAGAGTTACGCTACTCAGAACAACATGTGATTTTACACTGGATGAATTACTTGTTTCTGAGATTTTTTTTTTCCATTTAATATTTTTGGGTCAGAGCTGACGACCACAGGTATCTGAAATTGTAGAATGCAAACTCTTGGAGAAGGGAGACTCCTATAAACACAAAATAGAAGATCTGTTTATTTACCCCTATGGAGAGGTAGGCATATTGATGCGGGAGGGGCCCAAGGGTTTCAAAGGTATTTCACCAAATCCTAGATCTGAAACCAAGTGGTTGGGAGTCGGGGTGTAGTCCGGTGACTGAGATCCTGCCTGCATGCCCCAGAGTTCAAACCACCGCACCATGAAAAAAACAGTCCACACAAGGGTACTCACATCATAATTCTTTATTAACACAGATGTTTAAAGTGTTAGCGTGTGATGGTCACTTCCTTCATGGAAAATCCATCAAGACGAAGCCTGCTGTGGCTGGGAAACCCCTGACCAATGGCAGGGCTTTCTGCCATTTGTCAGCCAAAGATGAGGAGGTCAGCCTCTTCTTCCCTCCCTTGAGGTTCTGAGACACCCTGCAACAGACATTCAGGCTCCGGAATCCCCCCAAACACAAGACTCACGGGGCATCTTTTCCAGGGAGGCTAGAATGGAAATCTGGGGGATCCCCAGCCCCAGCCAGCTGACCTTTGCACCGTGACATTTCAGTCCAGGCCCCATTTTCTGTCTCTACTGAGTAGCCACTGCCTTTGGCACTGTTGGAGAAACAGGGAAAAAAAAAATGGACCAACAGCACCCACATCCTAAGGACCCAGACCACTGCCCTGGCTTTTGGTTACTGAAGCAAAGTTGTCACTGTCTTAACTTGTGACTTAGGAACCCCAGAAGCCAGAGTAGTGTGTGCCTCGGGAGGATCTGAGTTCAAGGCCAGCCCAGACTACGAAGAGCCCTTGCCTTAAAAGACATTAGAAAACAATTAGCACACAAAGGCTATTTTAATACTAAAACAGCAACTTGGAGGTTTGCAGGCTTTGGAAGAAAGGGCGGCTGTTTCCCTTTCCCTGCATTAGCATCTGTGGTGCTGGCCCCTCGGCAGAGCACAGTCCATGGGCTAGGGTCACAAACACCCTCGGGGACCATTGGCGCCACAGCATACTGAGTGTGTACCCCAGTAGCCAGTGGCAGCCTGCTCCGCATGGTGTGCCCCATAAGCCAGCTCAGCCTTTCTCTAAGCAGCCATGGCATTCACACCCTTTCCCCCCAGGGGCTCCAAGTTGAAACACCTGCCTGTCACCCAGGGGAGGCATACCTCTCCTGAACCTAAAGCAAAGGGCCAGGCTCACCCAGCCTTTCCTGGGCCCACCAGTGAGGGAGGACACTTGCTGGCTGGGTCCTGAGATGGATAGGTTCCCCAGAGCCCTGGCCTGGGCCTCTGGCTGGAAAAAAAAAAATCAATGATTTCTTACAATCAGTTTTCCAAGCAGACTGGAGTCAGAGGGCCTGTGTCCTAGTCCCACACAACCTTGAACAAGTCACTTTCCTTCTGGATGGTTCCACACATTGACTTGCCACACTCTGAGCCAGCGCCATGGGGACACACACGTCCACCCTGTCCTGCTTGGCCTTGGTGCCTGGGACCACAAGCCAGCTTGGGCATCCCATATATCCTGGGAATAAAGAAGCCCCCTGCCCCTCCCTGTCCCACAGGCTGGCAAACATTTTGAGAAAAGAGATTCCTGAGCAGGTCAGGAGAGGAGAGGAAGCTGCATCTACACTGGTCCCAGAGACCTGTCCCAGACTTCCGCAGCTTGGCCACCCACCTGGAACAAAACTGCCCCCATAGCTGCCCAGCCTAGAGCCCTGTGGGGGGTGTGACTCACTTTGCGGGGGGCCATTGTGGCTAAAGTTTAACCTGGCCCCTCCTTCACAATGACACTTTAGCCCCAGAAGTTCTGAGCACAGGCTCGCCCTAAGCGCACCAGTCACTGAGTGAGACTTCAGACACACTGCTGCTGGGCTTGGGACCCCGGGGACCAGTGGGAACAGGGCACCTCATGAGAGAAAGGGAAGACACCAGCTGGCCTCCTGAGAACTCTAAGGCAGGCAGGGTGGTAGTAGGTGGCACCCTGCCCTAATTCCTAAGGAGGAACATCTGCAGAGGGAGGCATGCCCACACAGCTGTTGTGGGTTTGTTCATACCAGATATTATCCACGAAGGTCCTGGGCCTCTACCCTCAGCCTAGGGCCAACTATTTGCAGGAGACCTCCCCTCTGGCCACGTGGGTCTGTCTTGCCTCTCACAAAGGCTTTCCCCCTTTGGCAGGGATATGGGAACTCTCTGGTATACAGGTAGACTCCAGTGGAAATCCTTCCCCAACAGTAGCTAGTTGGGCTCTGTTGAAGCAAGATGGGTTCCTAGAAAAGCATAACCCCCAAGGCAAGTGGAACTGGAGTCCCCCATGAGGCCACAGCTGTCAACCTCTGGCCCTTATATCCTAGTGTCCTAAAGCCTCCAGGGCTCCGTTCCTAGAGCTCTCCCTCCAAGCTTTCCTGAGAATGGTACCTGTGTCCTTGTTATCACTGCAAACAGTGTGATGGGAATAATGAATGAAAGTCTGGGTGCTGGAAAACTCCCTCAGCAGAGCTCCGCCTTCCTCTTTGCTTTGTGAAGTCATTAGACTCCCTGTGTGCCTCGTGCCTCCCTATAGATTGGGGATGGGGACAGCGCCATCTCACAGGGCTGATAGGAAGGTTAGATGACTACAGTATCTAAAAAGCAGGGCCCAGTGCCCGGCACACGGTCACATGCCACGTGTGGGAGCTTCCCATCAGTGAGAGGCCCCAAGGCTCACTGCTGCTTAAAGCCATATCCAGTTGCATGGACTGTGGACCTCCACGCAGAATCAGGACTCTAGAGCTATCACGCTTCCCACCCCAGGCTGCAACAAAGGACCCTTTACAGAGCTCCTCCGTGGCTGAAGCCTATCTTCTCCTTGCCATGGAGGGTCTCAGTCTTCTCCATAGAAGTGTGGGTATCCGTCTGAGTTCTAGTCCATGCTCAAGGAGATGGCCCAGGGCACCGGAAGCCGAAGAATGGGGCTGGTAACCTTCTGGAGTTCTCTGCGTGGATCCCGGGCACTTTCCCAGAAGGCCATAGGCTTAGGTGTGTTGGAAGCCCCACCCCCTCCCAGCAGCCCTCTTGTATACCATATTTGAGTCAGGATTGGGGCTGGTCTCCCAATCTGTCAAAGCCCTAGGTTAATAGTCTACTGGCAGACTGAAATTTGCCTCGGGAACTTAAGGCCAGGTTCTATCAAAGGGCTGGAAAGAGACGAAACATTGAGACATGCTCTGGAGCCAGGCCAGCTGGGAGGAGCCGTGAGGCAAGGGTTAGGGTGGGTTTCTTGGCTGCTCAGGCACGGAGCCTCACCCTATGCTCTGTGGCATGAGCCAGCCCTGCCAGGCTCCCCAGCGTCCTCTCCCTCCCTCTCTCTCTCTCTCTCTCTCTCTCTCTCTCTCTCTCTCTCTCTCTCTCTCTCTGTGTGTGTGTGTGTGTGTGTGATTGGGTGTATCTATGACTACAGGCGTGTGTACACAGAAAGTGCGCTCTTTGTACACCCCTGACCGCCTACTGATGCCTCTGGTGCCTTCCCTAAGGCACCCCAAGTTGCTGGTCCCCACTGCCACAGGCAGGCTGACTGTGCCCCGGGGGGGGGGGGGTAACAACGCTGCACTTTGCACCAGACATCAGCATTCATGGCAGATAATACATAGAGATCAGAGGGCAGAGCCGGGTATCTCCAGGGGCAGGTGAAAGGGGCTGTCCAGACAGCTTCTGCTGGGACTAGTCCTGGGGACCAGTCACTTCCCTGTAGGCCTAGCTCAGGAACTGCCAGGGGCACCACCCTAAAAGCCAAGTTCTACTCTGGCCCAGAATTTTTGCTCTTTGCTCCTTCAAGTCAAGGACCCAGGGCTGTCCCCACTCCATCACACCTCCACCCGTCCTAAGTGCCTCTAAGGGTTCGGGTCCAGACGTTAGTGAGATAGAAAAGGGAACTCAAAGCTGACTCAAAGGTCAGACCACTGGGCAGGACCCCTTTGGAGAAAGAGTGAGTCTTGGGAATGTTTGATTGAGAATGTGAGACGAGACAGGGTACCTGACACACTCTGCCCTCTGGGAAGGGACAGAGGATCCACGCAGAGGACTAGGGAAATGTTCCTCTTTCTTCTGCCTTCAGGAAGGGAGGAAGTCATTTGGAGCAGGGAGCAAGAACTTAGAAGGACCTGAGCGGCCAGGCACAGAGATGATGGATGGAGCCCCCTGGTGGCCAATTATGTCCCCCTCCTGAGAGGCCAGAGTGTAAAGAAATCTGTAGCCCTGACCTCATGCCCCACAACAGTTAGGTACATGTGGACAGACAGTCCATGTTTGTGGGGGCTAGGGAAATCAGGCGGGGTATGCTACCGAACGGGATGCCCCTCTGACAGCTAGAGTCTAGGGTAGGATGCATCTGTTGTCAGAGATCCGGCTTTGGTGAGCTCGGATTCCCAGACGGTGGGACTGTGTGGTGTCACTGTGACTTGGAAGAAAGATTCCTTGGGGACACACTAGCAGGCAGCCACCAAATCTTCAGCATCATGATCCTGAGCTCCTGACTCAAGGCTGAAGTTTTCCAAATCCCTTCCCACACTCCTTGTCTCCACTTTCTTCTGAACATTAGCCATGGACTGCAGAAACCGCCAGGAACGTGGGTTTTTTAATGGTGAGTTGAGATGCCTGGGGACACTGCAGGTAGCGACAGAAACGGAGGGTAGCAATTTGGGGCTGTAGGGTAGGTGCTGTCTCTGCCCTCCCTCCTCAGCCCATGGCCCCTCGGCGGGCGCGGTACTGTAAGCCCATGCTGCTGGGATGAGGTCTCAGACACCCACATCTCTCCTGCTTTGTGTTGTGTGCTCTTTCATCCTGACCACAAAGGTGGCCACACAGGCTGGAGGAAGGAAGGGCACAGCAGGGATGTCCCAGGCATTGGCAGGAAGAGACGGGTGTGGGGTTAGAGTGTGGCCCCCGGAGTGCCACACATACAGCAAGACAACCTGTAAGGACAGAGAGGAGACGCTATCAGATGGATCCTAGTGACGCGCGCTGTTCGGCCATCGCTGGCTGACACACAGGCCATGGTCCCTGGGGTTTCTCTTTTGTCCCACCCGCGAGCCTCCTCAGCTGCTCTGCCCAAAACCTGAGCTCCCTCTGTGCTCCTTGGCTTGAGCCTGTTCTCCCTGTCCTGGTCATCTTCCAAGACTGGCTCCCTCCCACAGCTGACCTTTGCACCCTCCGCCCTTCCCCTTCATTTGTGAACCCTCGCCTGTGGCCTGTGCCCCTCCTTTCCATGCTCCGCAGCTGGGCTTTTATAGCTCAACTCCACCCCTTTGTGCTCCTCTGGCTGTCTCTGGGGAGGGGGGCTTAGTGTCTCTGAACTGGTGTGTGTGCCTCCCCCGACCGGCGACTAGGGTGCTTCGTTGAGGGTATACAAACAAAGAACGTTGCCAAGTAGCATGTGAAAGACCCGAGATCTGAGATTCTTGGAGAGTTGGAGCTGGAGGACCTCGGGGATCGTCTAACCTTGGACTCTCCGACTCTGGCCTGCCTCAGGACCCTCCTAGGGTCTCCCAGCCCCACAGTTTCCAGTTCGATCGGTTGCAACCAGCAACACATGGAGGCTGCCAGGCCCAGGACCACCAATCTGGTACAAGCCGCAGACATGCCAGGCCCAGTATCTGATGGTACTAGAGTAGGCCTACACTCAAGAGCGCTGACTCCTAAGAGTTCTCCTGGGTATCCATCAGCCTTCCATCCCTCACGTATCCTGAGTACCCCAGGGACTCTGAGGGGCCCCAGGATGAGCATCCCGGGGACTCTGAGCGACCCCAGGGTGAGCCCCTCGAAGCACCTCTACTGTGAGGTTGGAGACTTGGCAGCATCGAACATCTTCTTGCGGCCTTCCATGCCAGACATGGCCTCCACGTTCTTCCTCCAGTCCCCCACCTCCACGGGCCGCTCCTGTGAATAATCCACAACCATGTCAGAAATTCACCAGGCTGGAGGGGCAATGGAGGCCCCCCTGAGCTCGAGAGACATCACCTCCTCACGGAGATAAGAAATCCCCATGGTCCTGCCCAGTGTGCGATAGAAGCTGCCTTAGCCTGGCTGAGGTTCCACAGGGAGTATGAGCCTGGCTGTGTGGCTGGGAGGTCCTAGGTGACTGTGATGGGGTCACAGGGCTGGCTTCCAGTGTATCCCCGGACAGCTTCACCTCAAAGACCCGCTACACCGTCCTGTGTGACACACTACAGCTCAGCGTCACCTCCTCCAAGAAGCCTCTCTCTCCTGACTCATTCGGGTCCTGTCATTTGTTAGCATACTGCAGAGCCTGTGTATCTTTCCTGGGCTTCCTGGACCAGGGGTTTCTCTCTTACACTCGCCTCTCGCAGTGTGTGTCAGCTCTGGGCATACTCTGAGAGGGCGACAAAACTTGAAGTTTGAACTCAGTTCTCCAGTTCCTATGCAATTGTATTCCTCCAGTCACAATGAGAAGCCGTGGCGAGAGGGGAATGGTGGCCCCTTAACTGACACTGGGAGCAGTTACCTTATTCCTCAGCCAGTCTGACACTGACCTCGAAGGGGGCTCTAGAATATTCTGCATCGTAGAATAACTAGAGCGCCTCGGGCTGTGTGAGAAGGTACAGGCTAGAGGAGGATGCCCCTCACCTTCTCCGTGTCCTCTTTCTTCACAGACTTGAGGTTGGCCCGCAGGTCCATGGATACCTTGTGCTTGGAGCCCAGCAGGGCTCGGAGCATGGCGTCAGCTGAGACACGGACGCGGCGCAGGGGTGGACGCTTGAACTTCCCACGGAGGTCCAGCACCTTCAGCTTCAGGTCCTTAATCTGTCGTAGGGAAGGAGCTAGACCCAGCCCTCTCTTCCTGGGCCCCACATGCTAGGCTTCCAGCTAGAGCAGCCCCACCCCCCAAGGTCCCCTGTAGGCTGTAGGCTATCCTTTCTCGGGTGCCCAGAACCACCCATCTGTCTCCAAGCAGTTACCAGGAATTTCCCCAGATTAAGCCCAGGGGTTAAGCGCAGCCCCTCCCCTTCCCCAAGACTCAGATGAAGGAAAAGCCACTAACCCATCATTCACATTTGGAACCCTTGTGTGGCATGTGAGCTGCTTCTTTTCTGTCCCTCTGTCCCTTCTCTTGCTGCTCAGGCCCTGCCCAGGGGCCCGCAGAGCAGCAGAGCCTACATTAACCCAGCAGGCAGAAAAGCCCTAAATCCTGCACCCTGGGCATCCCAGTACGAGGGAGTTCTCTGGAGTTTAATGTTATCAACCTCGCTGCCAGCAAGTAGAAGAGGGTAGGGAAGGGCCTGCTCACCTCGGGCCAATGCTCGGAAGCGGCCCATCAGCACCGGAAGTCCCTCCTTTCTTTCCCCATTCCTCCCAACTGGCTGCCCCTAAGGCTCTTAGAGCCCGCGCTGAAGGAGCGCTGAGTATGGGAGTGTGTGCTAGCTAGGACCCCCATTCAGCGGCTTGAGCCTTTGTGAGGCTCTGTGTCAGGGTCACCCACAGGTGTGTAGGGAAGATCAAAGGGTGCAGCAGACCTGACAGCCCTTCACAAAGGTAGCGTGTCATTAACAGACGTCTGATTGCTCGGTCGGGAGGAAGTGTGTTCTTTTCCTGCGTGCCTATCTATCCTTCCCGCCCATCTCCGCCTGCGGTGCTAGGGTGGGAAAATTAGAACTTCGTGCAGAGAGGCTGCCTCCCAGGCCCTGGAAAGAGGTGGGCCATGGTTTGCCCGCCCCACCCAGCACTGACCCAGGCTCCTCCCCACCCTCCCTGGGGCTTACCTCCCTTGTGTTGTGGAGGCATTTGGCCTCAATATCATACCGCTCCTCATCCACCACCTCTACCTTGGCGTGTAGCTCTCGGCACAAGTCCTGAGGGAGTAGATTGATGGCATGAGAGAGGCAAGGCCGCCGGCCACAGCCTCCCTTTGCTGTCTCCACACTTACTTAGCACGCTTGGCCCTACGGCCCATTGCGCAGCCACAACTGTGATCCCAACAGTAGCTGCTGGAGGTTCCTTCCATCAGGGTAACACCTCAGGGCGTTAGCCTTTCCGCTCCGTGTGCTTTCTCTTTCTAGATTGTTGTGAATGTTAACTTTTTTTTTCTTTCATTTATTTATTTTTAGATCGTGTCGGTATGTAGCCCAGGCTGGCCTGAGAGCCCTGTCATTGAGGATGCCTGGGCCCAAATTCACAATTTTCACACATATGAATTCACAGAAACTGTGACAGGACACGCAAGACCCCACACATGTTCAAGACAGACAAAATCCCAGCACTGAGAAGGGGAAGCAGACACAAAGCCCCACCCCTAACCAAGAAGCTATTTGTGATGGATAGTTGTTGGGGAGGGAAAATCAGTTTCCTACATCTCCATGTTTTGGGTTTGTTGTTTGTTTGTTTGTTTTTGTCTTATTCATTCTCTCTCTCTCTCTCTCTCTCTCTCTCTCTCTCTCTCTCTCTGGGTCTCACTATTGTAGCTCTGACCTGGATCACTGTAGATAAGGCTGAACTTGAATTTACAGAGATCTGGTATTAAAAGTGTGCACCACCACATTCCTGATTTCCTGATTTTCTTCCTCCCTCCCTCCCTCCCTTCCTCCTTCCTTCCTTCCTCTCTCTCTATCTCTTTCTTCCTTTCCTCTTTTTGATTTTCACTTTTTGTTTTTTCTCATGCCTCTATAGAAGGCTTATAGTCATTTCTTAAAACATAGCTTTCTTATCAGAAAAGTAACAAGTTAATAGTAGAAAAATTGAAAACTATAAGTTAAACAAAAATAATAAAATTAAAATAGCCAGTCATGGGAGACATGTGGAAATATTTGCATCTGGTCTATTCTCTTCAGTCACTGGTGTTAAAGCAATTTCTAACCGATCAAAAACAGCGAAGATTCATCTCCAAAACGAGAGGCAAATCTTTGGAGGAATCAGCCTTCCTAAATCCTGCCCATCTCCCAGGCCATGCCATTGCACCAGCTGATGGGATGCGGGTCCGGATCTGCCCAACTAAGTCCATTCTCCCCTCTCAAGTCTGTAAAATGGAATATCTTATGGTCACCTCGAATGCAGTCAGTTGTGAGACTGAGCGGGTGGTGGAGGGCACCTTACGGGGTCCATTTCCAGCCCTCCAGGCTTACCTGCAGGGCGCTGAGGGACAGGCCGCGGGTCTGCAGCGTGGGGATGCGCTCGGCTAGGTAGCGCACCTTCTCAGCCTCCCGCTCCTCGTGTTCCTGCTCCCAGCACTCCTTGGCCTTGGCCAGCATCAGGCTCTGGAGAGGACAAAGCCCCTGAGCCAAGGCTGGCTCCTCATTCCCCACCCAGCATCACCGAGTGAGGAGAGCGAGCCTCCAGACTCCGGGTGTGAGGCCATCGCTCAGTGTGCCCGTGTGTGCAATAGCTGCCCTGTATGAGTCACACAGAGTGAATCACGGGGCATTCCTGAGCCCCAGAGCTTGTTCATCCTCAGTCTCCCTCTCCCCTCTGAGCCTGTCCCACTGAGCTCCAAAGAGAGAAAGGTACCGAGATAAGCCCCGCCCCCGCCCCCGCCCCCGCCCCCGCCCCCTGCTGGCTCTCGGGCACCCAGGAGGGGCAGGATCCAAGTCACGGGTCACCAGTCAGCTTCCGCAACCTTCAGGCTTCTTCCCTTGGTTGGCCTCCCTCCCTGCCCTCCGCACCCCTCCATCTCCCACGGGACCAGCGTTACCTTCAGCATGAGTTTGCGGGAGGCAGTGATCTTGGACTTCCTCTGAGGATGAGAAGGAGAGACCAATGGTCAGACAGAAGCTGTAACACTGGAATTCTGGTCCAGACCAGCACAATACCAGTGTGTTTCTTCATCGTTATCCAGAACCCCCTGCTCACTTTAGATCTTTTAAAGCTGGTCTTTGGGACTGAGCCAGGCAAGCTCAAGGACCTCTGTGCTGCGGTCAGCTACCTTCAAGCCCTGCCTTCCAGGCCTCACTCTGCTGCAGGCAGGACTCTGCAGATAGGCCTCCTCCTAAGGGAGCATGTTGACAGCTGTACTTAGGTCACAGCGCCACCAAGATAAAATGAGGACACGGATAAGCACCCTTTGTGAAAAGCCTAAAACAGGCGCATGCTTTAGCGCTCCAGGTGATAATGCAGCTATATTTTGATGCTCTTTGCTGCCAGAGACATATGCTACATGTTTCCCAAATAAGGGAAGTACGTCTATGTGGACATCAAACAGCTCTGCAAGTCGCCTTCACCCACATAAATCCCGAAGATATGAAAACGCTGTGTGTCTTCTAATCAGAGAGAGCAGGCAAATTCTTTTATTTATTTATTTATTTTTGCCTTCCTTTCTTCCTTCCTTTCTTTCTTTAGACAATGTTTCTCTGTATAGCCCTGGCTGTCCTGGAACTTGATCTGTACCTCAAATAAGAGATCCACCTGTCTCTGCCTCCCATGTGCTGGGATAAAAGGCGTGTGATACTGCCACCCAGGGACGGGCAAATTCTTGGTGACTAGATAGATAAGTTTTAATAACTCTTTGTAAGTCCCTGCCAAGGCCAGGTACGGTCGATCATATGTGTAATCTCAACACTCTCGGGGCTAAGACAGGAGGCTCACACGGTGTGGGCATTCATGGAAGGACCTGTCTAAAAGAATGTTTAAAGTCCCAGCCCAGTGGCACTGTCCCCAGTGTGGAGAAGGTGGCAGAGCTCCCACACTGCTAACTAATGGGGCTGCGAGGCTTGGGAGCCCTCTATCACTCCTGGGTTTCTCCTGGCTGCTCCCATGGGGATGGCTGGGAGAGGTGATGGGTGAGCCATAGCACACTGAGCGTACAACTTCTGACCTGCTCACAGTGGCTTATCTTTCCGTCTTTGAAAGCCCACACCCCAGGTAAGGAGAGAAATGGCCGGTTGCTGAAGCCATTGCAGGCCCTGGTTCACCCACACAGGCACTGCTCAGCAAGAACATGGCCTCTTCAGCAGAACTCAAGGGTCATGGGTCACTGGAAAATAGTGTCTGGAGACTACCCAGGCCAAGTGCTCCCTCTCTCTGTGACACTTCCTCTCCACCTGAGCCAGCAGGACGCCTTTTCCTCCAGTCCCCGCCCCTGGACCACAGAGTGTCCATAACCTGGGTGACCACAGTCCTGAGGGGACCCTAAGGCCATGACCTCACGCCTCCCTCAGTGTTAAGTCATAGCCTTCACCTTCAGCTACAGCTTTATGCAGCTTCAGGCTTTCGACAGTCAGGATGATGCCCCAGGGATGGATGCGGGAGCTTTGAGAGAGGCCGAGGGAGAACTTTCACTCGCAAAGGTATGAAGCCATGCTGAGGATGTGTGGTCCCGGCCCCACGAATGCCTGTGGGGAGCATTGTGCCCCAGAGCAGCGACTCCCTGCGTCCTATACTATCCTCACTCACGGCTCCTCTTCTCCTGGGAGTTTTCTCCGCCACGGGCATCCCTGCCTCTACCTTGGCTTTGTCCCAGTCTCTGCTTGCTCTTCAGGCCCACCCCACCTCCATCAGCCTGGAGACCCCAGCATCACTCACCTCACTTTAGGCATCCATCATAGGACGGACCGGAGGAAAGAGCAGACAGAGTGAGTGGGAACAAGATACATGAACATGAGCAGCAACAGAACCAAGCAGATTTGCCCGGAGAGCAGGGCACGGGTAGCAACAAACATCATGTCCGAAAAGACCTCAGCCATCGGGCGGGGGGACCACTTCAGGCTGTCAGCAAATAAGAACGTAAAAACCCGACAACCTTCTGGACTCTCGGACTCTCCTTCTGGGAGGTGTTGGTCATCGCAGCTTTAAGGGCTCTAGTGGGAGGGCCCTGTAAGCTTTGACAGAGGGCCACAGTTAATGCGAAACTTCTACCCCTGGGCCTGCATTCCCAAAGGTTCATTCATCTGCCACGGCCATGTGGTGTGGTAAAGCCTAGTGTGTCCAGCTCATTGATCAGCACTGACAAGCCAGCTCTGAAGCTCAGGCCAAACATGTCCTCCAGGCCAACCTGGGAGTGAGCCCTGCTCAGCTGAGGGAGCTTCCGGACACCTCAGGGAAGAAATGCTTGCTGACACTATGAACCACCCCTATCTCAGGAGCTTTGGGGGGTAGGGGGGATAGGCTGTCCACAGCTGTCAGGCTGAAGTCGGTGGTGAAGGGACATGCCTCCCGGGAGCCCTCTATGGGGAGAGGGGGGAAACTACTTACACTTCCGGCATGGTGGTGGCAAGGCGGCACCTGAAGGGTACAGAGGAATCATTAATGGAAAAGCTGTACCTTTGGCTGCGGACAACAGGAAGAAGCCACCATGACAGATTCCAACAGGACCCCTCAGCTGTCCTGCTTAACCAAGGATGAAACAGAATACACGGACAAAATCCTCCTGTGACCTCAAAGCCTAAAATATTTACCGATGGCAATTTCCAGAAAAAAACAAACAAAAAAAAAAAAAAAAAAAAAAAAAAAACTGCTGACCGAGGTGCAGAACAGAATGGAATCTGTAGACAGTGTGGTTGGAAAGTAAGAATGGGACTTGGTGGAGAGGGACTTGAACACGCCACGGCAGCTGAATTCAGCCGTCGCCCGGCTTAGGATTCTTGGGGAGGTACGGGAGGAGCAGAATCGAATCAAGCTGACATGCAGCGGGCAGCTGGGTGTCTTTTGGCTCAACTCCAGAGGAGCCACCCAATAGGTGCCTAGCAACCCTGGGTAGGTGGCAAGAAGCTCTGAGTAGAGGTCAAAGCAGGTTGGGAAAAAAATCTAGTGTGTCTTCACTTTCTTGGTCAGTTTTCCTCTCTGCAGAGTTGGAGCTTAGATGAGTGCTGTGCTTCTTAATATTTTATTCCAACCAGACCTCACTTGGAGGCAAAGCAAGTTCAGTCACTAAAGGCATAGGAGCCTGGCATCCTGAGAGGGCATGACTGGGCCGTCCCTGGGCCCAGGCCAAGGCGGGCTTCCGGACGCCTGGTTCACCCTCTTGTCTGGGCCCTGACTTAGAGCATCGGGGAGCAGGTAGATGAGGGTAGAGGAAGCTCAGGGAAGCAGGAGCAGCAAGCCTGGGGAGAAATACGTCGTTGTAGGGAGGGTCAGGAGGCCTGAGGCGGGTTTACAGAGGTGGCAGGCGTGGAGTTCAGAGTCCATGCTTAGATTTGGTTCATGAACCCAGTTTGGAGCACTACAGAACCCCTACAAGGCGCCCGCCAAGAATCTCTCTCCATAGCCACAACAACAAAAACGCTAAACTCACTGACCAGACTTGGCCCTCCTCTCGTGAACCCGGCCTGTTAGCGAGCCTTCCACCTAAGCCTCTGTTGTGGGGAGAGTAGGCTAAGTGGGAGGTGACCCCAGAGTCTCAGCTGTCCCCATGGGGTGCAGGGGAAGAGGTGTGGGGACCATCCGTGCATTCCCAAGATGCTTAGCTGAAATTAGAGTCTATGCACAGCTGCTGGTCAAGTGCTCTGCTCTCCTGAAGACCCTGGGGAAGTCCAAAGAGAAAAACACTGGCCGGCAAAGACGCCCCCCCTCCCACGGCCATCTGGCCTCCAGGAATGCAAGCGGCAGCTGAGTAGGTCTCACATCTGTCTCCCTAGGAAGTGCTTCATCCTGGTAGGCATCTAGCCATGTCTGTCCTTCCTCCATCCCTTAAGATCCCACTGCCAGTATGGGGCCCACCGCTGGGGCCAGCCTGGGCCTCCTGCCAAGCCTCAGGCAGTCCCCAACTGCCTCAGAGACAAATGCCAGACCCAGGGGTCTCACATCGAGCGGGGGGGGGGGGGGGGGAGGGGGAGGGGCCCTGACCTGCGCTCTGACACCCACCAGGCAGCCCCCTTGACAGGCTCTGTGGAAGACAAGCAGGGACCTGATTAGAAGCCAGGATGTAGATAGCAGTGAGTCTGGAGAGCCGAATTCCATCTGTGCCACAAGAGGGAAACGAGGAGATAACGGAACGCGGAGCTAGAGGGAAGTCAGCAGGCTCCGGGCCGGGCTCGATGCTCACCTTCCTGGCCCTGAGGACCGTGGCTCTGAGGAAAGGCTGCGAGCTTTTCCACAGCAAGCCTGAATGTGTGTGAGTGTGCAGACCTGCGTGAGACCTGGCCCCTTGACACACCTGCCAGGGACACTCTAAGGAGACTCAAAGCTCTACCCTGGCTCCCCACCCCCGACCTTGGACCTTAGTTCAAGGGCACCCCTGTGCTCCTGAGCAGGGTGTTGACCAGCTGGGATCCCAAGCCTGTGGCCAGGAAGCCCTGTGTTAGAACTCCTTTGGTTTTATGACTTCCAAACTCGGGGTAGGGGCTTCCTTTAGCTCCCCCCACTCCTCCCAACATCACAGTGTGGATATCGTCCTAGCTTAGGGGCGCACGGGCTCTTGAGCTTTCACCCCAAATGCTGTTGCCATCTGCCTCCCCCATGAGAGGACCCCCTTCTACAACTTAGAGCCAGAAGCAGCGGGGAGAACTGGCGGTCTGTCTTTACCTGCAAACGAGACAGCCAGAGAGCTAAAAGTGCCAGTCAGAGACAAAGGACACAGCAATAAAGATGTGGTCAAAAGCCCATCTGGACCTGTGTCCTGGGAGTCCTGCACGCCAGCCACCGCAGGCACTGATCACTGTCCCTACTCCCAAGGCACCTGAGTGCAGACCCTTTATCTTAACCCCGAGTCCCCAGTGCCAGCTCTGCCACCAGGAGCGGTGTCCTCCACACCACTGGCTGCAGTCCCCGTGAGAGCATAATCCACCAGGCTCTGCCTTGGGCTCCTGAGGAATGTGTTAGGCAGTTCTGTCCTTCCGGGGTTTTACTTCCCACAGCGTCTTACAGGAGAAGTAGCATCTTA